GTTATTGCAAACAAAAGGCACGAATGGTTGAAGAGAAAGGGCACTGCTGTACTGAGAACAGCGACCAAAAAAGGGTGGCGTAGCTAATGTGTACGGGAAGTGTGCCATATGCGACCCCGGTACCTGTCAAACAAAAAAGCAAGATCAGAATCAAAAAGCAATAGTAAAAGAGGAAGCCAGTAAAAGAAACTCCCCAGAACCTTTTTATTTATTTTTTGTGGAGACGCCTGAGCTGCGTGATGGGCCGTGCGTTCTCTGTCTCTTCCAGGAGGACGTTGTAGTAGAGCTACAGCGGGTAACGCCAACAGGAAGGGTTCATTCTTCAAATTCAAGCTCCACATCATCCAAGTGCTGCTATCATCTACCAAGGATGAGGAGAAACATCAGAATGAGGCGCATCTCAAGAAAGCTTCATATATAGCCAATCCTATGTACTCGGAGAGTTCTGGGCTAACAAGATGATGGGATATGATAATAGTAACTGTTTTAATAATAAGAATAAAAAGTTGTAATTTTCAAACGCCCATTTCACCAAGTCCCGTTAAATGCCCTCCCACAAGTCGCCAAAGATCCATAAAGCGTACAACCCTAATTACATAAAGTGAGGGGATGATTCATAGGAATAAAACATGATTAAAACTGAACCCCATGACCAAAAAATAATAAAATAATAAACCACATTCCCGTGGTCGAGAGGTGATAGATAGTGGGCCAACCGCTGCGCATCAAACTTCCGATGCAACGTCCATACTCGTAGGACGCATTACCTTATTGATTACGCTAGGCGACTTCCCCCCATGCGACTCATTTTGCGCGGCAGAAGCTGCGGGGCTATCACGAAATTCCCGTATTTGTTCCCTCGTTGGACTATTGGCACCATTTAAAGTAACTGTATCTGCCAATTTTGTCCTGCCTCTGCGGAGTTTTGGTGCATCCACAGCTCTACCCCTAGGGGTTGCTGGCGACATTGAAGTGCGTTTTCTACCCCTCACAGTTGTCGATGACGCCGCACGGCCTTTTTTAAGCGTCAAACCGGGAACCGAAGGAACTATCTCGAACCTAGTGGGCGGTATCATGAATCTACTGTTATCCAGCATAGGGGATTTGGCTGGTGACCTAGGCCCACTCCACTTGTTGCTGAATAGGTTCGGCTCGTATCCAAATTTGATATTGGGAGTTACCGGTTTGGGTATTGGGGGGAGATCATGCAGGACCGTAGTATGCTCGGTCTCAGATTTGCTGATCCTATCTTGCTCTTGCTCCTCTTGTGCATGGGAAGCAGATTGTAACGCATCGAGATCCATGACTTCCCAGGTCGCAGCTGTCGCGGCGCCATTCCGGTTGTGATTAACACCCGGGTTATCCTTCCCGTCGTCGTCTCCCATTTCGACCGTCTCAGCCTTCTCGTCTATAGCCGATAACTCCTCTCCCGCCCTTGGCGCTATCGTTGATAGAGGTGCATCGTTGAACTGCAACGCCTGAGACCGTCCCATGAGGAAAGGTGTCCACACCAAAGCGTGAACGTTCAGCTTTACATATCCCTTTGCTTCCCATTTATCGATGTGTGCCTGAAATGCCTTGTAATCCAGGCGAAGAGCGTATGTTCCTGTAACCGGGTCTCTGACCAATGCATGCAGAGCCTCTAATCCACAAATTATATCGTCTGGCGTCATTCCTGTGCGCCTAGATATGTCCAGGATAGTCAAAGGTTCTTTTTGATCTCGCAATTCATAGCACAGTGCGAGTTTCCAGTAATTTCGATATGATACAAGGCCGAGATCGGAGAAGGGCTTTTCTGGCGAGCCAGTCTTTTTTTCAGCACGAGTAAGAAGATACGAGAAGGCAATCAAAAGGTTTCCATATCCTTTTCGTTGGTGTATCGGGAGTGTTAGAATGCAAGAAACATTATTTTGACTTGTTGAGCGTTTCTCCTAAAAAGATAAGTTAAAACGCGTTTTTAAACAAAACATAGAGTGGAGATTCTTTGAAAGAGAGGGTAGGCAGGTTATGGAACAAACCTTTGAGAAGTAGCCCACAAAATGCATCCCGCATTCGTTAAATTCAGTCATAACATAGAACAGGAATGGTTCAACGTCGTAATACAACGTTTTAGACCCAAGAAATAATTTTGCAAGCAGGCAAAGATTTTGACAGTAGACTGGGTTTTTACGCCCATCAATTTCAAAAACAGATATTGAGCCATCTCTATAAACCTCGTCGCCAGGAGGGTGCTTAGCGTCACATTTCATCTATTTTATGGGTGATGTCAGTAAACACGGAAAACGGAGTGAGAATCCATGGAAAAAAAATGTGAAGATATAAATAAAGTCACTGCGGGTATCCGAGAGCCGAACCAATCAAATGAGATAATCTGTTCATGCGTATGGCGAAAAGTTTTGATCCTAGCCAAACTTTTCGTGCAAAGAAACAAAACATAGAATATTACCAGGAGGGGACGGAAACTGACCTTATGCCTCCAGCCGACGTATTCGCTGTTCATGTACTTCAGGCAGAACTCACAAATCCACAAGACTTTGTTCCTGCTATATTCCTCTGGGTAAGGTGCAGCGTACCAAGTATCGATCTCAAACTCCCCAAAGTGTATACATTCAATCTTGCTGGCGCCCCCTTTCTTCTCCGAGGCTTTATCCTTCTCGCCACGACCAGTGCCATTGAGCCCATGTGATAAGGCGGAGGATGATAATTTCAATCGTGTGTTTCTTTCATCGTCTGCTTCCTCACGAGCTCTATCAAAGCGTGCTCTGTCGTCCGCACCAGGATGGGTCTTGGTTGTTTCCGCTTCTGCTTCACTTAGGATACCACCATAAGGCTTTGACTTATCGTCATCGTTGAGTGGTAGATAATAAGGCGAGACACGAGCGCCTCTTGCGCTAGTGGCAGGGGTGGTGTCGGTGGCAGCCGTTGATCGTGCCCTAGCACTGCGCGTGCTGTTGGCAACAATCTTGCGTGGTCGTGGCGGTACAGTGCTGGGTTTTGGTTGTGATTCCAGAATTTTCTCCAATTTTCCAGACGTGAGATTCGTTATCCAAAGATTGAACTTCCGGGGTGTTTTTTTATATGTGACTTTAGCAGCTCGTTGTTCTCCTTGATAGGAATCTGTTGTGGTGGGCTGTTTGTGAATTTTCCTGGAGCTTGCACCCGGCGTATTAAGTGAAAGAGTATCATTCGACTCATGATTCCCATCAATATGCTCGAATTCATAGAGATTGTAATCTCCATTTTGATTATCAGAGACATGGCCATTGGCCCTGACCTTCTCTTGCTTCATACGTTTCCTTCTTCGAGCACTTACTGGACCATCATCTTCCTCATCTATATCGCCAGCCCTTCGCTTTCTAAGCGTCCTCGAGTTGTCTTCTTTGCCTGGAGGATTTGTGTCTTAGATCAACCATCATTTAAATAAACCTAATAGCTCAGGAGTTATAAGGGCTTACCAGCACTAACCCGTCGCGAACGGCTCCTATGAGATGGTGTGGATTCGGGAATTGGGTTAGAGTCGTGACCGCTTGCAACACATGTAGGGCATCGCCATTTTCCAGATTCTGTCAAAAAAAAAGTAAGTCAAACCTTGCCCAAGAATATAACCGGCCTATTATATATACCTTCATCTAGGGCCGACTTTACCCCCCCGTTGTTATTTTCCTGGTTATCGCATTGCTTATGCGCTATATTTCAACCAACCATATATCAGCACAGTTACCCTAAGACATAAACTAATTTTGAAGAAATTGTACTCACAAAAAGCGTTGCACATTTCACATTCTAGCGGAGCTTCATAGTCCGGGCTTGGATCGTTATATTCATCGCCACCACAGTGTCTATCACAACAAAACGATGTTAGCACCCAATCTTTGGCATACGATGGTTTATATTAGTAGCTGCGTACATGCAAAGCGCCTTAGTTGGCCGTTCCACTTCGTCATCTTCGTCCCCCTGCCAGATCTCAACGTCCCCATCCTCATCAGACGACGCAGATGATTCATTTTCTCCCGCGGATTGGTCCGCTTCTGCCTCGTCTTCATCTTCCTCGTCTTCTCCACCTCCGAATTCATCCTCTCCACGCTGTCGTCAGACAATCTGATCAGTAACCGACCATTAAACCGATTCCTCCAAGAATGTGAAGCGTACCTTTCGTTTCCTGGCGCGCCTCCCAGAGCGCCGTGTCTGGCTCGACGGCGCAGGACTCCCACTATCGCTCCTATCCTCCACCTCCCTCCTCGAACCAGCCATAATACCGGAATCGGGGCCGGAGGTGAGGAGCGTCAACGCCCGAACAGGAAGAGAAAACAATGCGGCAACTTTTCTCGTTAAATTCGTAATACTTCTTGGTCCCTAACCCCCCAAACTCACGACTTGTAAGTTACTGCTAGAACACCCTTTGTCCAAGTGCTGTTGATGAGCAGTTTATTTTGTCAAGCAATTTGCAACTCGTGCCGCTGTCATTAACTCTTATTGTAGAATTGTTATTGTCGGGGGACTGTTGAATGTAGATGCCTCCGAGCTTGATGAGAAGGCCAGGAGGTGATGTGATCGTATGTAAGCCGTCTGCAGCCGGTTTGGACAGGCCTAATCTCGTGGCGCAAAAGAAATGGTTTCGACGCGAGGCTATGATCCGGCAGAGTAGAAGGCGACTCAAAACGCGTCCGAAAAGTGATGGTGAGTTAAAGACAGCAGCAAAGAAGGAAGACGTGTTGACCCCCTGCGAAAAGGCGTCCTAGTGCAGTTGGAGGAATCGCAGTGCTGCCGTGAGGTCACACAAGCCACTATTACCGCTTTTAGTGTTAGCGGGCAGCGCTTCGTGACCATGGAGCCGCTTGTGATGCGTAAGAGTGAGCACGTCCCCTGCCCCACCACATCTGCAAGCCGACGTCGACTGTAGTGACAGGAAATACGAAATTCACAAATAGATACCTCCAGACTCAATAAATCAGACATACACCATGGCTATTCCCTTTGAAGCGTTTTTGCCATACGCAATCATGCTTGGCGTAAGCTCTATAACCTCCACTCTTGTTTCGTGAATCGCTAACGAGAGATCATCGTGGTTATCTAGATGTTTGGAGCTACTGGTTTGGTTAGTATCTCCGGCCAAATTGAGTCTTCAAGACCTAGATGATTAAACCAAGAGTCGAGTAGGGACTTTCGGCTGTACGTACATACCGTAACGATGGAAAGCGACACAGATGGAGTCTGGATCATTGGGATAAAGTAAGTGGTCCCTTTTACTCTGATGGGCAAAGATATTTTGGCTGATATAGGTTGTTTATGACCACAGCAAAGTAATAAGAGATTCCTATACCTCCGACAATCTCAGAGGTATTCCCGGGCTACACAAACTTTAATATTAACGTTGGGCTAGTGATGGAACGCGATCGCCGTTTGACTGGAAGTATGCGAGGCCAGACCGATAACGCTGTGGCGCCCGCGGGTTTCGAATTAAGCTCTGCCTGGAAGGTACCAATCCTTTCTCTCTCTCTCTCCCTTTTTTTTTCGCTGTTGGCGGAAGCAGACGATATGTGCCAACCTCCTAGCTAACTTCTGTAATTTTGTGTCTATAGCTTGAGAAGAGAATCTACTAAGCTCCACTGAGAAGCTGTTGAAGAAAACACCTATCTCAAAAATGAACGGAATAGATTCAATTAATAAGCGAGTTACTTTTTATTGATTAAAAAAGGCCATTTGACCGCCAATCTCCACCTGGTACCCGAAAAAGTATTTGGCGCTCAACGTAGATGAATTGAATAAGCGGTACAGATACCATACCCACCATTTGACTTCCCCCCGATAACCAGCTACATGTATCTTCCTTTATTGCCCGCTCACCTACCCATGTACGTCTAGGTTAATTGAACCCGATACAAGAGTTTTGGGTTTCTCGCCCGCCAGCCATGAACAAGTTACATAATAGGGGTATCTAGTTTTGAGTACCTGCGAAAGATCTATAAATAATCACTAATTGAAAGGCTTATATACATTAATATTATTAACAGCTTTACGGTGAAATATTGGTGCGGATGTGCATAAATCCGTATGGTCTTCCTGTTCATGTACGTTTGTGTCGCTACAGATTTGTGTGCTAGTAAACTTTGCGTCATGTACCGAAAAGATCTCGAGGATGACACTCCCGAGATTACATGTATTAGAAACTCCATTGTGCCTAACTTGCCGACATATTTCATCTATTCCGACACACTGTGATCCACCAACGACGTGAACGGGCTGCTAGACCTTGTGGTACTGAAACACATACATGTATATATACATGTACCTACATGTATGTACTTAAGCATGTAGATATTAAGTCTTGGGGTGGAGCCATCGAGTCGCTAAGACGAGGAACGAGTGTATAGGAATGGGTACTGAGTTCTACTTGGTAGCAAATATGCTTTATTTTACTTTGAGGGTTACATGCACGCATCAATCGTTAGTTGGGAACCCGGTCATCTTCCTGTCTGTTTGTAGATCATTCTCATATAAAAGAATATTCGGATGGCACAGGATACTCTATGTACATGTATTGTACTTACAACATACTCGTAAATTCATGATGTTTCCGAACACGACCAATATTTTTTTATGTCATGCAATATTGGTCGTGTTCGGAAACGCTATGAAATTACGAGTACATGTAGGTACATTTGTTTAGAGAAAATTCGTTACGTCTCAGCAGGGGGTTAGGCCAACCAGAGGCACTCTTTGAGTTTCGAATACTGCAGGTTTTGATGTAGAGTAGAATACCCCTGCTGCATCACAACAAAATTTCTCGGGTTTTCCGGTACGTTATTATGAGATGTGCTTAGTACATGTAGCTGTGAATACTCTTCTCTCCCTGGCGAATAATGTGAGCCCGAGGCACCACCTAGAGTACCGCAGAAACTCGCCAACTTGATTATCTCCGTGCAGGGATTTCTTCATTGATGATTGGCTGAAAGGCAGAGATCAGCTTCAGATATTTCCTCTACAAGTTAGTTTTGGTCAGATCCGCTAGCAAAGTTCGTGAGTTTTTGCGGTACTCTAAAGAAGGCTGAGATATATGCAGGCTTGGCAGCTGCAGGATATATGTAGCTGGACTTACCGGGTACGTCGGAGGTTTAGTTAAAACTCATACCTGCATGTATGTACGTACTCTACTCGTATTTCTCCGACGTTTGTGGACGCGACTGATATTGCATGCCATACAAAAATACGCCAAGCTCATGGTTTTGGGTGTATGCAATAATGGCCCAGTTCAAAAACGTCAGCGAAATACTAGTACAGCGTGAGGTAAAATTATTGTAAGAGTCCTATTGGCTTGCCCAGCCATAGAAACCCTGTTTTTTGACCCCTGTTTCTACAATAATTTTCCCTCTCGCTGTAGGAATACATGTAGCTATATGGAGTAGTTGATAGTCTTGCCACAGCCCTGCGGCATGCATGCATGAAAACTCACGTGTGTCGGTGACCCTGCTTTACGTGCATGCAAGAGCTTCTAGTATCCATGTTTCTCAGAAAAATTATCTTAAATGCAATTAAACGTATTTGGTGATATCCCGAAGAATAGGTGTTGCCGAGTGATAACCTATGATTCACGATAGCAAGATACCAGTTCCGGCAATGATACCGATTGGATTTCCATGAATCCAAGAAAACAGTCACACAAGCTTCACACCGCGTCTCTCTCCCATCGACTCTTTGGAATACAAGGATTTCAACTTGTGATGCACCTTAGCGGTAACATCACGGCGCAGCGATAAGTGAGTCAAGCTTGAGGCCAAGTCAGCCCATCATCAGCATCCGTATTAGAGTTAATTACAATCATAACAATCCACCTTTAAAGTCGCCCACCTCCCACCTCCCATCATGTTTTATGATAACCTCGACTGTCAAATATCTTCCGGATCTCTTCAGCTCGTGCCCACGGCAACGCGTATAGACTTCAACGACACCCCGCTGAAGTCATGCTATGGTGAACCCAACAATTACTACGCCCTGGTGATCGATGACTGCTTTACAGCTTCCGAATGCGCCGACCTTATTGGACTTGCAGACTCAGACTGGAAAGCTGCAGCGCCAAACACAAATCGTAGGGACTGTTCTCGAATCATCAAAGAAGATGTTGTGGCTGCGAAGCGTATCTATGACAGGGTTAAGCCATTTTTGGAGGAAGTCACCGAGATCGGACCGGGCAGCAATTGGGAGAACATTCCAGGGAAAATGAAGACGGGACAGAGTAAGGGTAGATGGAGGATGACCAGGTTTGTGTCAATTCAATTATTTGCTAGTTATTTAGTCAAAGCAAAATTTAGAAACGGGGCTACTAGCATATATAAAGGTTTCTAACAGTTTAAAAACTCAGACTTAACGAACGCCTCCGATTTTTGAAGTATGGCGAAGGACAGAAGTTCACGCAACATTGCGACGCACTGTACACCACCCCCGACAAATCTTTAAAGTCGCTTCTGACACTCCATCTTTACCTCAATGATTCATCTGAAGGTAGCGAAGACCCTGCTGACCCAACGGCTTCCCCAAAAGAGATAAAAAGAGGGGGAGCAACACGGTTTTGGAACCCAGAGAGAACCGAATTTGTAGATGTCGAGCCAAAGAGAGGCAGGGTTTTGATATTTCAACAGAGAATGCTATGGCACAGCGGCGAGGAGGTTTTAGAAGGGGTTAAGATGACTATGAGAAGTGATTTGATGTTTGAATGGGCTCAATTTGAGAAAGGAGAACGCTAGTGACAGCTTCAAGCAAACCAGAAGATACCTACCTGTTTCTAAAAATTGGATTCCCTAATACTTACCTAAGAGGGCGTTACATTTGTTACTAACTGTAGTGTGCATCGTGAACTCAATGGATACAAGCATAATCTGTACAAAAGCTGTATGGATCAAACAAAAATTTCAAAACACCATTAAGTAGCCACGTTTAAGACTATGATCGATCGCCCAACCCCAACATGATGAAGCCGTTTTGAAAACACCAACTCCAAGAAACAACAGAACATGCATACTTTCTAACGGTCAAACTGCCTCCTTTACTTTCTGCCCTAATGGCGCTTCGTCAACAAAATCTGGTATCCCGCCTACAGATTCACCCTGTAGAAAATTTGGGAGTTCTCCGGCGTTGACTGTATCAGCATCCCATCCTCCGCTGAGCTCCACCTCTTCGCCCAAAGCTTCGAGCTCGGCGTCTAGCTCTGCTTCGTCCACGTCTGCCTGCTGTATTAGCCTGGTTTGCGCCAGAAAGCAAGGAACTAAAGCAAACCTTCAGGAATATCATATGATCTTGAGATAGATTCTTGAATGTCATTACCAATATCCATCAAATCTGCCATCTCATCCTGGAGTTGCTCGACTGGTATTCAAAACCGTCCATCAGCGTCTGTTTGATATTTACTGTAAGGGACGAAGAATACCTACTTTTGTCGATATTTATTTTCCCGTATTGTTTCTTCAATTCTTTATTCGTTGTTTTGAGTGCGTCAACAGTAACCATGACATCTGTTTTCACCGAAGTGCGCGATCCGCCCGAGGGGAAGCGTGCTTTCGTATCAGTAAACCCCGACTAAATAATAGATTTGACATCACTACTGCAATAAATGCTAGAGATAAGAAGAATTGATCTCTAGGCAGTAGTAGTGGCGCAGAAAGAATTGAAATATATGAGAAAAGCGGACTTTTGAGGTTGTCTTGCATCATCCCAGCTTGTTCCATGTTCCAAGACTGTTGTTGGATCTGGTCCTTCTGTGATTCGTACATTTTACGTCGTTGGAGTACCTTTAAAGCCTATTTTTGAAAAAACTCTCGATTATCAAAAGATGTCGAGCTTAAAACAAGAAAAAGATAGAGCTTGCCTTTTGCTTCAGGGCGTTCTTCCCAGGGCCTTCACGCATCTTAGAGAGTCGTTGCTGGTAGGTGGCAAGTTCGGCATTTAGCTTAGAGAGCTGGACGTCAATAGAGTCAACGCGAGACTCGAGCTATGAAGTTCGAGACAAAACCTATCAGCATACTTTTTCACCCATATACATAAATGACTCTGGAAAGCATGTGTACGCATGCACTCACATTCCCAATAGCACCTTGAAGAGTGGGCTTCGGAGCAGTATTTTTAGCTCCAAAGAGACGGTTCATGGTGGAAGCTGATTCTGATTGAGTACGCGTATTTGGATTGACCTCGGCAAGTAGAAAAAGATCTGTGGTAGACAAGATGGTGATGGTGGCAGGTGGTTGTAACTTGTAACTACGATAGAGGCTCTTGGCCCAGGCTTCTCAAGGATAGGTTTCGCCTGACCCCGCCTGCACGTGCGGCAATCGTTAATCTTAGCCCTGACCAACGTTACACAGCCAATCTGTTAGACTCAGATCACATCACTACATGTACTCGTAGCTTTATAGCGTTTCCGAACACGACCAATATTGCATGACATACAAAAAGGTGGATTTGGCGCTTTTTCGTATGTCATGCAATACTGGTCGTGTTCGGAAACGCTATAAAGCTACGAGTAGTCGACTCAAGTTTAATAATTCTACTGCTCTACGGACTGTCTAAGCAGGGAGCGAAAATATTCCTGGCATCATCAAACAACACTCTAAAAGCCCAAACGAAACTGCACCGCCGAAAGATGGTCTAGGATAATGCAACTCAGGGAGTTCAAGTACCAGGCATTGAAGAACGACTTGCAGCCTTTGGTTGGTACCAAGCAAGCAATATACCTTCGATCAACTGAACCTCATCGTAACGAACTCCTCCGCTCCATAAACGTCGCCTTCGGTCTTAATGCCGATAGGAACTTAATTTGGGCGGACGATGATTTACTTGCAATGGATCCTTTTATGCCACAAATCTCGATCACGAATTTGTCGCTCTCGTTGCTGATGATTGGAACACCACTCTGGATAACCTCTTACAAGAAGCCATTATGACGGACCGGTTAGAATGGCTGGAAAGGCTTACGATCGCACGGCAGCTAACAAATCGGACTTGTCGGAGGAACGGTATAGGAAAAACGCACTCGGTGGGGGTATTTGAGATCAAAACGAGTGGTGATTGCCTATTGATATTATAAGATATAGTTACATGCAATGGTTAGGAGGGTGAAAACGAACTCACTACCTACCAAACCCGCACGCTACGGTTGCCGAACTCTAAGAGGATAAACGGCAATGGTTGCTTGCTTGATCAAATAGGAGTTTCCGCCAATTTGGGCCATATCAACCTTTACGCAGCTTTATAATAGCCTTTATAAGCCAAAAGTACACTTTCCGCCGGTGCATAACATGATAAATGAGAATGAGATAGTAGTTCTTGTTATTGTCTCCGCTTTTACGTTTCAAACAAAGGAAAGAGTTTACAGTACGGTAAGAGAGTAAATACCGAGCAGTATTAACGTTAAATTAAACTGGTCTACCTAATCCCCCAATAGTCCGCAATTTTCCATGACGCAAGGATGGCATTTGTTGATCGGTCGATATGAAAATCTCAAGAAAACAATCATTAACTGATGTAAGGATACATGTAGTAGGTTAGTAAATTCAGTAGTCTTTTAACCCTGGAATGGGAATAGTATAATTTGTGATAAGCCACGTTTGTATCACTAGAGTGTTCTATTTTGTCACAAAAGTTATATGTACATGTAGGCACAAATACGTTTATCCCATGGCTTTAAAACTCGAAACAAGAAAAGCAAGTTTATGGACAAGTAATCTGGTATGAGAATTACTTGTCATCTAGAAGAAAGCTCCTGAGTCAACATCACCTATAAATAGTTGATGATAAGTACTGCAGCCTACCACAATACCTATTTTGATCTAGATTCTGCCCTTTTGTTGCTTTTCTGTACCGCATCACCTGAATGCATCCTATCCTATCCAATAACGCTCTTCATCTCTCACTAATTTTTTCTGTTGACTACATAGCTATCTTGCGGAACTAAATTGATCCTTTCTTGCGTTAAAGAGGCCCGCGGTGCTTACCGCACGCGCAACTTCCAACAACTCATCCTCGTGGCTTCCGACGGACCATTCCGGCGCATTCCTCCATCTTTGTTTTGATCCTGTAAGTCTAGCGAGGTAGATATATGCGGGATACTCACCCACTCAAGTTCAAACTCTTATCTTAGCGACCATTTCACTATTATTGTTGGCTGGTCTATTTCCCCTCATCTTCTCTATCAACCCCTCCCCCAGATTCATCCCCCACCCCCGCCCCCTAGCAAAATTTAAAAGCAACACCAGTAAGTTCTGCTCACGTGCCATCCACTGGAGCCTCTTCACAGTAAATAAATCGGGAGACTGACGGTTAACTACTGGAGCTTATGCAGACCTCATCTCAAGAGCCCTTCTTAGTATCGTCATAATCATCATACGCCGCTTTGCAGGGGTAAGATTAGATCGCTTGATAACACAATCGCCATCAGCCCTCCCCCACACAACAACAGCACCGACCTCCCCCCACCATCACTACCGACACCAGCAACCATGTTCTGGCGTTTTGGAGGCTACGCGAGCATTTCGACTCTGGACTCGATTCTGGATAAGCCTGACGTAACTCTTGAGGAGTTGCTTGATGAATCGGATCTTATCCAAGAGTTAAAACAACACAATACCAAGCTTATCGAGTACTTAAGGGACGAAGCTGTCTTACGTAGATTACTCGAATATGTCATCGCGCCCCGACGGACAGAAGAGTCTTCATCTTCTGACGGATGGGAGAGCAGTGTCAGTAGCAAAGAGGGAGAAGAAGGGATTCAGAACGGATGGGCCCAGCTTTCCGAGACCGAGCAAAAGGCTGAGCGGGAAAGGGAAGAAAAGTCAAGATTGAAGTATGCCTATGTCTCATGCGAAGTACTTTCAAGTGAGACATGGTCTTTGGCTGAGTCTTTAATGGGGAATTTATCGCATCTACGGATGTTTTGGGAGTTTCTCGAGCGTCCTTCTCCCTTGGACCCTCTACAAGCTGGTTATTTTACGAAAGTTAATGAAACATTGTTGGACAAGAAAACAGAGGAAATGATGGAGTTCTTTAAAGGCTTGCCCAACATCGTTTCTAAGATTTTGAAACATGTTGAATGTCCCATGATTATGGATTTGTTACTGAAGATTATCAGCATGGAGAAATGTGAAGGCGGTGCGGGTATTGTTGAAGTAGGCATCTATTCATCGAATCGTTAAACACTTTGAAATAAGTCATAATTACTGATTATCCATAAATGACAGTGGCTCCATTCTCAAAATTTAATGCCTCAGCTTCTGAAGTTTCTTTCTCCGGAATACTCGGCTGTAGCTCAGACATCGAGCGGAGATTTCATCAAGGCTATCATCACAATTTCAGCTAATGCTTCTCAAAACGAACAATCTTGTATCGGCCCCAATGATCTTACCCGACAGCTTGTCTCCGAAGCATGTGTTAAAGGCCTTATCCGTGATATGCTCTGCGGGGGAAACCCGCTTACTGTTGGTGTTGGAATCGTCATCGAGGTCATTCGTAAGAACAACTCCGACTATGATCCAGAGGTCGGAGGTATCGACAACACTCCCTCAAGCAGAGACCCCATCTATTTGGGCACATTACTGCGTCTTTTTGCTACACACGTTCCCGACTTTATGAATTTGATATTGACACAGACGATGGTTGTAACGAACGATGATGGGACGAAAACAGAAAAAAAGAGGGAATTAAAAGCTGCTTATGGAGGAACAATCGAACCATTAGGCTTTGACAGATTTAAAACTTGCGAGTTGATGGCAGAGTTGTTGCACTGCAGTAACATGGCTCTTTTAAATGAACAGGGCGCCGAGCGGTATGTAAGGGAAAGAGATAGGGAGCGTGATAGGATATGGGCCGAGAGAGAGAGGGATAGGTTGGAGGCAGAGGGTCTTGCTGATATCAACGGAGTGGTTGAGGGCGTGGTAGTTGAGAAAGCTCCTTTGCAGGTACAAAATGGTGGGGTAGAGGATACAATAAACGAGGAGGATTTTGAGGATGTGGCAGTTTCTCTTGACGAGACTGGGAAGGAGTCAGCTCAGACCAGCATTGGCCAAGATCCCTTCAGCGATCCCGAGAAGGATTCTAAACCTCAAAAGGCTTCTGAAGACGAAGATCTTTTTGTTGATGAACCACTTTCCCCCCCGACTACTCCAGCTGACACGACAATCACCTCAACCTCTGATAATAGCAAACCTATTCCGGCAGCAATACTTGCAGATGAGATCCCCCGACTGGATGTTACCCCGCCAACAACAGTTTTAGCAGTTGGGTCACCAGCCCCCTTTGGGACGACTGAGAAACCCAAAGAACTGGAAAAAAAGCTTAAAGGAGTTGATTCTCCTCTCCCACCTCTGCCAGAGAATGGAAAGGATTCAATTGAGAAGGGTCAAACAGGGATTGAACGGAATGAGGGCGGTTTACTAAACACCGAAGTCCCCAAAGCACCATCACCCCCTCCAGTGGAGGAAGATGATGATAGTCTTCTCAAAGGTGGCAGGTCTTTGGTAGCCGATATGAAAGCTGCGTCTGTCACATCGCCATCAACCCCTCAACCCGGCACAATAACCCAGGAGCGGATGGATGCCGAGCTTCCTCCACTCCCTCAGGAAGCTCTCGATCAACAAAACCAACCACAATACCCCGAAGAGGATCTTATGGACCTCGGAGGCTCATCCGACACAACCGTCTCGGATGAAGGGAATGCTACTTTCAGATCTCTGGGAAACTCGAGTTTCGAGGAATATGAGCCAATGATTGAAAAGGATTCGGATGGAAACCCTGTTGTAGGTGATTTCTTGAAAATGATGTTTGTTGAGAATTCGGTTGTTCCCACCATCTTGGTAAGCTTCACTTCTTCTTCTTTATTTTTGTCATTGTCGTGAAGGATTATTTGTTAACGTTGGGCTATAGGATTTCTTTTTCCGTTTCCCTTGGAATAATTTCTTGCACAATGTTGTATATGACGTTGTTCAACAGGTCTTTAATGGCCCAATGGACAGAGGATACAATCGCGCCCTTGCCATAGATCTCTTTGTCACAGGCCGCATCACAGAGCGAATAGTTGATGGTCAAAAGGAGTCTGATAGAGTACAAGCTGAACGGAATATGAGGCTCGGTTATATGGGACATTTGACACTTATCGCCGAAGAGGTAGTCAAGTTTGCCGAGCGCCACCCTCCAGAAATTTTGGGCCATAAAGTCCTCGAAAAAGTCTCTGATTCTATCTGGGTGGAATATGTTGAGGACACCCTAGCAGCTACAAGAGAAAGAGATAATGCCATCCTAGGAGGTGTGAGGCCAGATATGAATGTGGGACCGCGACAAGCTGTTCTGAACGCCGTTCAGGCCCAAGCATTTAATGCTAATGCTACGAATGCCGGATCATTGACTCTTAGTGGCAGCATAGCAGCTGAGTTAGATAGTATCGATTTACAAAACGGCAGTAATAACAACAGCAACAATACATCTACTGTTGTGGGCAGTGGAACCGGTAGCGGGAGTGCAGGTGGGCTTTTGAGTGGGTTCGGAAGCTCAAGCGATGAGGAAGACGAGGACTTGGAACATGATGAAGACGATGAAGAGGTTACGAGACTAGGGTTGAGTGGAAGTAGTGATCAAGTGGGTGACCTTACCGATTTTTTGTTTGATGATGACCTTGAGGACATATTCGAGGATATGACATTCCTATGAGTTCAGAAAGGCCTGTTTATAGTGTTTCTCTCTCTTTCATTCCTATGAGTTGGGTGTCTTTTTCCTGACCGCCTTTCTCTTTTGTATCGTTTAAAATCCCGCGGCGTTCAGGAAAACAGGGCGGCGGAGTATTGGTTTGCTTATATCCGAGGAATAGCCTTTTTTTTCCCTTCTTTTTTTTTTTTTACATTCATTCCTTTCCTTTCCAAAAGTTTCTGCCTTTTTACTTTTCTTTATCAAGAGACTAGACTTTCACTCTCGTCTCCAATACTTTCTTACTTTCCTTGTTCTGATGGTGCACACCACGTACCGCAGAAAAGATAACGCCCGAGTTGAGAACCAAAGATTGCTAACCAGAAATGGTGATACGTATCATTATAGTTTGCCACATACATATCCCAAGAGATAAGTAACGTCGACAAGTTCGGATCCTCTGACGAAGAGGATGATGATGAAATTTCATTCTCAACCGCCCCCAGCGAGCCTCCGCCGCCACCGCCATTGCCTTTGAACATAACTAGAAACTCCACAACTACACCAACTACACATTCTACGGCGAGGCAGAACGCTGATGTTGAGGGAGATAGCAGTGGTGGGTTCGAGGAGATTGAGGAGGTTGACGTTTTTGCTGAGGATGTCGATGTATGCCACTTTCTATTCCCATCCTCGGCCCTGAATTTTGACTAATATTGGAAGGGAAATTTCTAGAGTTCTGATGAGGACGATGATCTCAGCTCTGGATTAGGAAGACAGAAACCGAGCCCAACCCACGAAGCAGAAAAACGTGTAATGCTGGAGGAAGAGGATACAGATGTGGATTTCATAAGTGCAGGTATCAAAGGACTTGATGTGAAAAAGAGTACGCCTGCAAGCGACGAAAAAACCGCTTCAGCCCCAGCGGAAGTTGGAACAGAAACTGCCATCGAGGGTGGTAAATAGTATAAGAGCATGGCATTCTGCGAATTTTTTGTGAATAGACGGTGGTGGTATATATGCCATTTGAGAATCATGCTCTTATGACATCATCCATAATCTTTTCGTTCCTGTTGCTAGTGTATTGCTAGATGGTTGGGTTTTCTCTTTGGGGTGGGGGGGACGGAGGGTTGGGTTGGGAGGCTCTTTCTTATTTCTATTTTTCTCTGCGCGAGCAATGTCTTATCTGTGTTTCTTTCTTTAATCGCATATTGATGTCAATTTTGGGGGAGAAAGAACTATCCAAGGGAAGAAGACTCCTAACACTTAACATCTTCCTTTAGGATCAACCTATCAAGCCAACCTACGAACCTGGATCGTTTTCTCTTGTCTTGTTTAACATAAAGGCATTGTATTTTCATGGTGAGGGCGCATTTCATTTACTTTCCATTTTCTCTCTTTGGAAATATATCAAGGCACGGGGTATCGGAATCATTTCTAGGTGGGAGGAATAGTCTATGCTGTGACGATTTGTATGAGTTATGGTTATTTTTGAGCAATTGATTCATCGTTCGAAGGGATACAGCTATTATGAATAAGCCAGGTACTCGAACTTATATATTAAACTGCTCTACGAATTCTCGAATGCTGATTGGTACAACACTTAAGGTCGTAATGGGAGTGAGGGAGAGAAAAAAAAGAAAGAAAAAAAACCGACCTAATGGACCGAAAATATGATCCTAGAGACCACTTACCTTTGTGATTAGACTATTGCGGACAATACTTAGAAGATCCCAAGAGCAAGAGCGTTCTTTATGATACCTTCCCTGGGTTCTTGGATCCTATGAGCTTACCGAATACTACGGAAAAAAAATTGGAGGAGTCTCGAGATATCCATTTTATACTTTTTTGTTCTTCCCGGGATCCGCACATAATTCTCTTCCTCGGTCGCCATAGAAGCGGCGAGTGATGTCTGGTGGGTGGAGAGCGGGAGCTGTCACCCAATCAGCAGCTACGAAACATAGATTACCTCAGCTGGTCTGTGCCCAGAACTGCGGTCGACCCCACGACGCCCGACGACCATCATCATCGATTCCACCCCTCCGTTCACTAAAGCGGACATCCGGACTCGGGCTATTTAAACAACACTTTGCCCCTCCGCCTCCCCCGGCTCGCAGCAGAGCCAAGCTTGCTCAATTGACATCAACACCACTATTCATCGTCGAGAATGTTTCTAGCACGGCACACCCCGTCCGGTTCGGCGGTTGCGGTGGTATCGCGCCTGGCTCGCCCTTCCGTTGCTATTCAACAGCGTGGGTTGGCCACCTCCAGCGATGCCCCGCCACCGAAAAAGACAAAGTTTGGCGGATTATCAGACCAGGATAGAATCTTTCAAAATCTCTACGGCCAGCTTGGGGCGGATCTAAAGACTGCCAAAAAGTATGGCGATTGGTACAAGACAAAAGAGATCCTGCTCAAGGGCCACGACTGGGTATGCTTCTATATCTTTTTTACATAGAGTCGGATATTTGGCTAGGTGAGATGAATATAATACTAACGCTTGACCTGTACGGGATAGATTATCTCTGAAGTTAAAGCATCCGGCCTTCGTGGACGTGGAGGAGCAGGGTTCCCTTCCGGCATGAAATGGGTATGCGCCTAATCTCCGGCATCGATATGCAATTTGCTGATGTTTTTTTTTTTTTCCTTTTAAAAAAAAGTCTTTCATGAACCCACCTGGATGGGAAAAGGGAACTACTCCTCGTTACTTGGTGGTCAACGCAGATGAGGGCGAGCCTGGAACATGCAAGGATCGTGAGATCATGCGTAAAGACCCCCACAAGCTCGTTGAAGGTTGTTTGGTTGCAGGACGAGCTATGAACGCTACTGCAGCTTACATCTACATCCGTGGAGAGTTTTACCACGAGGCAACTGTACTTCAGAGAGCTATTCAAGAGGCATATGCCGATGGACTTATCGGCAAGAACGCCTGTGGGTCTGGATATGACTTCGATGTCTTTATCCACAGAGGGATGGGGGTGGGTAAATTTGACTTCTGCGTCAATGATAAAATGCTAATTATATACTATACAGGCCTATGTATGCGGTGAGGAAACTTCTCTCATTGAGTCGCTTGAAGGGAAGCCAGGAAAGCCCCGTTTGAAGCCTCCTTTCCCGGCTGCTGTCGGTCTTTTTGGATGCCCATCTACCGTCGCCAATGTTGAGACTGTCGCTGTTGCTCCAACAATTTGTAGGAGAGGCGGTTCATGGTTCGCCCAATTTGGTCGTGAGAGGAACTCCGGTACCAAGCTTTTCTGTATCTCTGGTCACGTCAATAACCCCTGCACTGTTGAGGAGGAGATGTCGATCCCCCTCCGAGAACTAATTGAGAAACATTGTGGTGGCGTCAGGGGTGGATGGGATAACTTGCTCGCTGTTATTCCCGGAGGATCTTCAACCCCTATTTTGCCCAAAAACATTTGTGACGATGTTCTCATGGATTTCGATGCTTTGAAGGACGCCCAGAGTGGTTTGGGAACTGCCGCCGTTATTGTTATGGATAAGAGCACAGATGTTGTCCGAGCAATCTCAAGGTAATTCCCCGAATACTGTACACACACAGAGTTCTACTTTCCCTAGCAAGTGGTTAACTCAAATGTTCATAGGCTGTCTAAGTTTTATAAGCATGAGTCTTGTGGACAGTGTACCCCTTGCCGTGAGGGTAGTAAATGGACTGCACAGATAATGGAGCGCTTCGAAAAGGGCCAAGGAAGGGAACGAGAAATCGATATGCTCCAGGAGCTCACTAAGCAAGTCGAAGGTCATACCATCTGTGCTTTGGGTGAGGCGTTCGCTTGGCCACTGCAAGGACTCATCCGTCATTTTAGGCCAGAGTTGGAGGCTAGAATGGCGAGCCATGCTCAGGCTAGCGGCGGATCGGCTCTGGCAGGTGGATGGGAACATGATGCTCGGTTGAAGGGAAAACTTATTGCACCGGGACAATAGTTATTTTGTTATTTGTACATTTTTGTTTGAATGCCCATATTATAGTATGGACTAAGTTTGCTATGTGGATACCAGTGAATTATCTTTGTTGCATTTTATCTTGTGAGTACATCAAACACTTGATACATTCCAATATGCTGGGTTTGAGGTAACTACTGGTGATCAGCCATGGGTATGCGCATGGTGGGGTTTTTGCCCATTAGTAAATAAGAATTTTGAAGTATCTTTACGTAGACTTCAGAGTAACATCGCCTTTAATTTTTCTCTTCCTAAATTGCGGCCCTTTTATGATGCAAAATCCCAAAACTCCTGATATACGAAAGAAGAAAAAAGCAAAGGCGGAAAAACACCTCTTTCTAATTGCATTATTGCACAATCATCTCTTGTCGACTATCACTCGAGTCATTCTACTGACTATAGTAGCTTTAGATGGCCGGAGATTTCGTTCACAACAGACACGGGCGCTATATATCAACCACTATTAGTAAATGATTCTTTCCTTAACTCAACCATCTCCAGATAGAGATATTACCAGGTCCGATACCCAGCACCGTAGCACTGCCAGCTGCGATCTGTGTCCGGCCCGCATCATGCACAATCTTAGCGACAACACCCAAACTCATTGCCTGCGCCTGTAGTATATTAAGTTCGTCCTCGCCTTTGGCTTGTAATGCGATTTTTGTCTGCCCATAATTTTCCCAGGCACGCACAAGGTGTGGGGCATGCTTTTGGGACGCTTTGTAGCACATGAGAGTTGCGTGCCCGCACTGGGCAGCGATTTTGCCCTAATTTTTCGTTTCAGTTTCACAATAGATTTTATGAGATATTGCGGAAAGATTGGGCTATACCTTTGTCATTCCGAGATCTGAACGGACTATCAAAACCTACTTGCGCCGGGGGAAGTCAGCCATATCCATGCTGAGCCCAGGTGGTAGAACTCAGCTCGTTGTTCATTAACTGATAGAGGTATACAGGACTTACCATTTTGCAGGCTTCATGACTGTTCTCGAACTTATTGATATTGACCCCCCCGTCGTCATCCTCTTCATCTTCGCCATTCTCATCTTCCGATTCCCACTCCACATCCTCGCCATCCTCCGCATCCACCTTAGCCTTTCCCTTCCCCTTCTTATCGATAGCTTTGATACCCGTGTTCCGATCTGCACCAGCGCCAAAGTTATCATCAAGCACTACCGTGTCCTTTCCATTCAGTTCATGAATGTTTTCTGCCTTGCGGAGGCCGGAGGTCTTGCCGACATAGTAGCCGGCGATGGCACAAATGACCGCTGCGAGGAGTGTGGTGAATGGTGGGCTTAGTGCAGGCATCTTTCTTTCGAGCGTAAAGAATATTGGATCAGAATGGCCTGGCAACGGGCGGAGCGGAGGAGAACTCGGTGGATTGTGGTTGTGCGTTGTTTATCTTTCAGATTTTGAGGTTCAAACATTGGACAAGCATCATGTCACGTGTGTAACATATAAACTCCGGAGTTATTCAGGGAGCCAATGTATAATTGCTTTACAGCGAGAGGTAAAATTATTGTAGAAACAGGGGTCTAAAAACAGGGTTTCTGTGGCTGGGCAAGCCAATAGGACTCCTCCCATATTTCTACAATAATCTTACCGCAAGCTGTACGTAGTTCCCAGTCCAGAACTAAGTGCACTACAGGACATTATCTATTACAGCGTGAGGTAAAATTATTGTAGAAATATGGGAAGAGCCCTATTGGCTTGCCCAGCCATAGAAACCCTGTTTTTAGACCCCTGTTTCTACAATAATTTTCCCTCTCGCTGTACTCTACCACAGTCTCTCTTGGATATGCGTTTTCGAGAAAGTTCGGCTTTTAGGTTGTGTAATAATTGGGTTGGAGCAATGATATTACCCTAAATATTTTTCCCACTCAACCAATTGGTATCTACTCTACTCTACTCATCGCTTCGTTCCACTTCCTCGGAAATGTGAAATTCAGGAAGGAGGTCTTCTCTAAATTAGGCAGGTATGCGATTTTCGTCCCTGTTTTGTAGACCTGCATTCTTAAATTCATCGAGTAAGATCTCAGTGTGATTTATATACCGCCTAATGGAGATATATTAGTTTATTAGGTTATTCAATAAAGCAGAGCTGAATAAGCCTTCACACGCTGCCACTCAATTGATTAAGCACATAAACACTCGGATTTATTCTTTCCACGAAGCTTGAAGATTACTCCAGAAAGGCTCTGAGGGATCACGAGATTCAATGCTATCTCTCGAAACAAATTTATCGGGATCTACATATATATGCTCGATATTATATGTCTTCGAATTAAAAATAAAAATGATAGTGGACCTATACTTCCGTTACTTAGCTGCTCTCAACACAGTACTATCGTAGAATGTTGTGCCCCGGTTTGAGCCTGATACTATAATTTCTACTCATATACCCACTACCTTTAGAAGTAGCCTAGATCAAACTAAATTTAGTTCAACTTGATGTTTACTCAATTTTATTTTTATTTTTATTTTTAGGGTTTGAGCATTGTTGAATCCCTGTGGTTAAGTCTTTTCTTCATACTCACTAGCACCGTACCCACGGGAATGATGACCAGAATGACCAAAGGCCCCTAAGTTCAAGGCGTGAGTTGAGAGAGTCCGATTATTACTGAGAATTCAAGTCTGATTTCTACCAGGATAATCCCCAAAAATTAGCGGTTAGTAAGACATACCTTTCATGTCGTGAAAATAAAGTTTTAATAACGTAGTATATTATATCGCTACGAAACAAGGTTCACCCTACATATTCCGTCACGTGGTAAGTCCTTTTGAGAGAATGTCTGCTCACACGCCTCGGCAAGAAGAATCATTTCTACTTTCTGGGGAAATGACTGGTATGTATGTATGTAAGGTAAGAAGGCCAGAAACTGCGGTCGGTACCACCTCGGGACACGTTCCGGCCGTGGTCAAAAAAGTACACCTTTTATCATAGGCCGTAGAAAAAGCAATAGATGCAGAAAAATAACCTCAATTAATGACTGCGCGTTAAAAATCATTGACGCATGAAAATATCCCCAGACTAGAAAAAGGAAAGGAAAAGGAAGAAAAAAAAAATCGTTACTGTTAGATATCTATGTACTTTTTCCCCGGAATTACATGTACTACTCCAGATGGGAAAAATATAGAGCACAATAGGTACACAAGTCGACAAGAGTAGGTACGTCTCGCAAGTGAACCGCATAACCGCGGCAGCATCCGTTGTCACTCGCCTGTCTCAAACGCACATAAGTCGTCTTCATCCATCTAAAGATAGCGCCATGACAGCCTTGCATCCCCCCCCCCCCACTGTCTCCATAATACAGACCATCAAGGAATGAAAAACGCCAACGCATGCACAGATCAACACATAAAACTCGTCCAGCCATTTGCTAGTGATAAGTAGCTCCTAGGTATCCTATTGTCTTCCCCTTAGTATGTACCACACCCCAATAACAACCAGCCATTTCCAATTCCTTAGCTTATCGCATAGAAACCCGCCCTCCAACCCAACAAGAGAAGTGACAGGAAAAAAAGAAAAAAGAGTGAAAAATAGTGAAAGACAACGAAGTGGTGGTGGGGCAAAAAGCCAACTGTTCACTCGAAAACCAAAGCCCGCTAAATAGATGGAAAAAAAAATCGGAAAGCTGCAGAAGATATCAAAGGATATAAAAGCAAAAGAACCCACCCCTGTAACGAAAGGTGGAGGGGGGACAAAACTCCCACATACCCCATGTCCGACGTTCATACGTATCCCACAAACCCCACATGCACAATGAAAGGGAAACACCCGCCTATCTCAAACACCATCGTACATACCATAAATCCCCACGGAAATCATCTTCTCGATGGAACCCTGACAGAAAGAAACACCAAGGAAAAAGCAACATAGAATGCGGAGAAAGATGAATACACCCGAAACTGGAGTACATACAGCGGACTGTACCGCCCAAAAAGATCAATCACAGCCACAACTGGGTACATATAAAACTGACCCGAGCTTCAACTCGCAATTCGTCACTGACAAGTCTGAAACCAATATCCGTAGATTGAATTGGTACTTACTCTGTATCGTGACATGTCTTCAGAGATGAAGCCATTTTGTAAAAGAAAAAAGGGGACCTGAACAAAAAAGGCGAGAAATTACAACCTTTAAAATCGAAAGAAAAAGCAGAAAAGAAACCTTCCCTGAAGCAACGGTCGAAGATATAACGAATAAAGCAAGAAGAAACCCCCATGAAACATCTCCAACGATCCAATTCCATGCTACCGAATTGCCCTCCAATGTCCCCAAAAGTCCGTAACAATGCTCAGAAAAGAAAGACATGGTAAAATAAAGGATATAGAAGACGACCCGAAAACGGGCGTATAAGCAAATCGCAACCGTACAAAAGAGGGAATAACATAAAAAAAAAAAAAAAAAACTCCAGGATCCTTTGTACACCAAGCAACAATCCTTTGCTGCTTGCAGAGCAGACGGCGTCCACATATTTTTGCCGTGAAATTTTGTTCAAAAATAGAAACTTTTTTCAGTTTTTCGTGAAACAAACCCAAAAGAAAACACGCCATATCATCGACTCGCGGAAGTTACAACTGATGTAGGTTTATTCAAAATCATCACCACCTGTTGATTTAGATTAGCAATTGCTTTACATTCACTAAATACTTAAGAATAAATTACCTTCATCCATGGTGTCATTTCCATCAGTAATTTCCCGACCATTAATGTCAACGACGATCCTGCGTCCTCTCTTTTCTTCGGGAACCCCATCTCTAGCAGCACCAAAATCCAGCACCTGCCATATAGTTTTAGCCTGCTGCCTCCATGAAAATACGATTTGGGTAGGAGAACTAACCTCGATATAAGTAACATCCTCCCTCTGCACAGCTGCAACACATCTTCGTTCATTGAACTTCACCTGCCAAACTCCACTCAGATCCGTCAAGAGATCTCTAATGAAGTCTCCAGTCTGCACATTCCACATTTTGACCGTCTTATCAGAACCAGAAATGACCTTATGGCCATCATGCTGGAAACAGGTGATGGCTCCAGTGTGGGCTGCAAGTGTCTGTTTGCACTGGCCGGTTTCCGGATCCCAGATTCTCAGTGTTGTGTCTGCAGCAGCTGATACGAGTCTATCGTGGCTCAAGTCCAATAGACCGACGAGCTGGGTGTGTCCTTCGAGCGTGTAAATTGGCGATCCAGTATCGAGTGACCAAATTTTAACCAGGTTGTCCATGCTTCCACTAATACAGCGGTTGCGTTTATGATCCAGTACGACGCTGTAAACTTTCTGGGAATGCCCTCGAAGGGTGTGAACCGTCTCTCCCGTTGATATTTTCCATACCTTAACAGAGTAGTCATAACTACCACTCACAAGGGTATCTCCATAAGCAGAAATCGCGCGAACAGAGTGCTGATGTCCAGAAAGGGTGCGGACAAAGTATGGGTTGTTGTTAGGGTTCAAAAAGGCATCACCATCCTGTCCATCTCTTCCAGGCAAATAGGTCTTATCACCTGTCATTGGAAGTTTCCATACTCGCAAAGTCGAATCACGAGATCCAGTAATTATCATAGGCACTTTCGGCATAATTAGATCCTTGCCATCCGCCTTCACCCCGATCTTGGTCGGCATAAGGATTTGTAAGCAGCGGACAGTTGAGGTGTGGCCATGAAATATCTGCGTGCACTCTCCCTTGATGATATCCCATACCCTCACAGTCCTATCAGTGGATCCAGATACAAGTGTGTTTCCTTCATACTGCAGAGCCCAAACACCACCTTCATGTCCCTCAAGCTTGTTTCGCAATGCACCCGTGTTGGTATCGTACACGTTGATATTGGTATCATCGGAGCCTGTCAAAATCTTATCCGTGTCAAACTGTAGGCAAGTAACTACATGACGTTGGTGACCGCGGAAGGAGATATGCCTTGGTTTTACTTGCGGGCGAATCCAGCTGCGGCGGATAATGTGGTGTCTGCGATAAATCGATTTGAACAGGTGTAGATTCCTCAGCGAAGGCAGCCCAACTGAAGCCTTTGATCCAGCCTTCTCGGCCGCATGTGCCGCCGCGTTTGGACCCACGGAATTTGAGATGATTTCAGATATTATTTCGTTGAAATCTTCCTTGCATAGGGTTTCCACAGCCTCCCGTTTCTTTTGTTGTCTTTTTGAGTTAGCTCTAGTATTAATCTTTTTCTTCTGCCTTCCCATGGGTGGAGGTGTTGTGAACGCCGAGTTACCACCACTAGAGTGACGGCCTGATCGACTTGGGACAAGACCTGCATTAATATCCCTTTCGCAGTCGTCATTACCCTGGGGATCCTGGTATCCCCACCCTTCTCTCACTGCACGATCCAGCTCTCCTTCTGCCAAGACATAACCATCATCGTCAAACAATTTTTTCCAGGTCCACTCATCCGAGTCCACGATAACCCTCCACCGCCTAGAAACCTGAGCAGCATTACAAAGACTTTGAACATCAAGATACTTGATGACGTTTAAGGATAGTTCGGGGGGTAGTAGCGTCAGGAAGTCGCATTTCAGCGCAGGATTAACGACTTCGGCAACTGTTTGGAGGGTACTCTTTGAACATCGGCGGAGAAGTTGGTACATTATATAAGTCTTGACAGCTGATGGCATTGCATCAAAGGAATCAAGCATTTTAGGAATTTCCATCAGTCCAGGCGTGTATTGCTCCATAGGAGTTTGAAGTTGCATATGCTCTCTTCGTGGACTCAATATTAATTGGGTTGACTCATCCATCATCATATCCTCTTCACTCGGCGGTAGTTCAAGTGGTGAGTTGATGTCGTCTGTATCCATCGCCGAAAAGTAGCTGTTGCCATGAGTTAATGCTGCCGTAACCGGGCTTAGGCTAGGACTTGGTAGGCTAAGAGGTTGAGCCGCACTATCGTTACTAGATGCCATAGCCTCGGTGTCAACTTCGGGGGGGGTTGCAGCCACAATCGTTCCATCAGACGCATCATCCAAATCAACATCTTCTCCAGGGGTTGGAGTCGCGGCATTCATAACAGCATCCTCGTTATCCATGTCTAAGGGCTTAGTCCCGAGGCGAGGGGATAATGTTAGTGGTGTCTCTTGCTGATGAGTCTGGACTGGCGTTACAGACTGGGCATTTTGCAGTTGACTAAGTTGTTGATGGACGGGTCGGAACGGCCTGGGAGCGAATGTTGCGGTAGGAGGCTGACTCTCGGGACGTGTGGGGGTCGCCGGGGTAGCATTTCGGCTGGAACGCAGGTGTTTCCTAGGTGATGGTGTGTTTACCTTTGGGCTGGTGGTCCCTATGCGCGGCTTTCCGGTTTGGCGACGCTTGTTACTCTTCTGCATAGTAGCTACGCGTTCAGCAGCCTCTGATATTGACACCGGGGAAGCAGGCCTTTTCCTGGTAAATGGAATGGTGGCTGACGTGGGTGGACTCGTCAAAGGGTTTGATTCCTCAACATGTTCTTCTCCTCGGGACACTTTCCTAATCACGCCGTTGTTTTTGATGAGGTTGTATACGAGTTGATCGAGCTGACATTTGTCCACAGTCAATAAAAACCCATGAGTTTATCCAGGCCGATTGTAATCTTACCTCTCTAACGGACTGTTCGGGGTCATCAGTCTCTCTAAAGTGAGTTCTCTTCCCATTCAAGTCAAAGCATAACCTTTTGAGGTTTGAAGGTGTAGGAGTGGCCGCCAAAGGGAATTCCTTCGGGTCAAGTTCATTAAGATTTCTTGGTGGTTTCATAACCAGTTGTGGAAACGACATGGTCGTAGTAGTCGTTGTAGTAACTACCGTAGTCTGGGTTGTAGGAGCAAAAGAGAACTGCCCAACAGACGAGAAAGGGGCGATGCGAGGTTCACGACGAGATCTCTGATGCTGCTGTTGTATTATTGATGATGAGCCCGAAGATAACGATGCCGATGAAGACATATCGATCTGTGGCTGCTGTTGCTGCTGCTGTTGCTGTTGCTGCTGCTGCTGTTGGTGATGGCGGTTGTTCCGCCTGAGTGAGTTATGTACATGAGGTGCTGATGGCGGTTCCATGGAACGAGATTTAAGTGTGGGAATGGTATCCTTTTTATTTTATTGTCGTACAGAGGGAGCGAGACGATCTCTCGGGAATACAGGGCTCGTTTTCGATGAAAAAGCGAAAGGACCCCGAGGATTCGTGTACGTCTAGAGTAGGTATCAACGATTCTTTGATCTAGAAGTTGATGATGGAAATGGTTGTGTTATTGAGGTAACGAGACGTTGCTCAGCCTCTCCACGATGGTATGGAGTAGGAGAGAAAGGGAATATCCAAAAGAGTGGTTATCGGAGAGAAGGATATTGGGAGGTGGGAGGGGAGGGGGGTTGTGTTGAGTGAGAGAAAGTGTGATGGAGGAATCCGCTGGCTGGCGCCGAGCAACAAGAGGCAAGGAAGGGAAACGAGAAACGAAAGACTGGAAAGGGGGGGGGGGGGGGGTGGGTAGGTATGGGTATGCCACTCGTAGTGTTGGGTGACGGAGGAGAACGAGGAGGGGAGAGAGGATGCCGGCCGCTGCTGGTGTGCTGCGGCACTGCAGGAGGCAGACGATTACGGCTTTTGAGTCCCTTTCCTCCCTTTCAAATATTCGTCCCTATCTCCACTTTCTGTCTCTTAGTCTTCTCTCTATATCTTTCTCTCGAGGTTTTCTCTCAAAGATATTCCTTTTATTCGCTTTCGTACTGTTCTGCTTAGGCCCGTTGATTCCACAATTCAACGATCTTTCAATCAACCTCCCCGTTGTCAGTACAGGTAATCAACAAAGTAGCCCAAAGAAATCAAAAATCCGTAATATACATAACAGAACCAGGAGAATCACAACGCAATCAAGAGTGAGGGGAATAGATATGCGAGGCAAACGCTGGAAATGAATGGGGACCAGCAGCACCACAGGCGAGGATGTTCCTCCGAATCTCCACTCGCAGCAGCAACGACCATCTCCTCTAGGCCTAAACTAGCCATACCCGGTAATCCCAACCCTCCAAACTGCCAATTTTTCCCCGTCGCCCCCCTTTGTTGCTAAGGTATTTTCGCCTCGCCTTCTTCTTTTCCAGTTGGCTGAAAATCTCTTGCCAAACGGCCTAGATAAAATCATCAAACTGTTCGTCAGCAAAATCAGACACCCCCCCCTCCAGGTAAATAAACATCTATGTTAATAATAACCTAAACCCTAACCTTGCTTAAACCCAAATATCGGCGGTTTCCAATATCATGGCCCCTTGCATCGTCCAATAGTGCTAATCATTCTCTCGTGTTATCCACGACGAGGGGGAAACATGTGTACCTGCTCATTGATAAGTCGAAACTTACCTCTGTCCCCTAAAGCCGTTAAATGGCTGTTCTGGCAATGAGAAAAGTAATAACTCCCCCACGCTATATAACATCTTGATATGGCCCGCAGACATCGGCGATGAATAAGTGCCGAATAGGAAATGATTGCGCTGAAAATATCCGTCTCTCTTGTCGCCTCCCCGCCGGCTAGCTAGTCATCGGTCCGGTTTCTGGCTGGCGGGAAAATATTTAGCGAGAAATTCATGAAAATTCCGTGGGGACTCAGAATTGAAAAACTAAGGACAGAAGAATCTTGAGGACCCCACACTTGCGTGTCTAGTACAACGGCAACCAGCGCAAGAGTCACAAGTACATGGGGTGTTTGTAGTTTCGGGAACAACAATAATCCGGGTAACAAGGGGTATATAATAACCTCGAGCTCTTTGAATATTAGATCTCTCGACGTCGGAGTTACGCAACTACCAGAAGAAAACTCGCAGACGAATAGCTGCGGGAGTGCCAGTTTAAAACAAGGAAAGGGAATTGGAAGTGCTGGCAACTGCACCATGCCTCGGCTCCCGGCACTCATCAGGATAATTAAATTATATCTCGCCATGGCACCCCCAAACACGGCCAACGACACCAGCTTGCTATACGCCTCTTTATTCTCCGACAAATCAATATCTAGACAGTACTTCAGTATATACTACTATCCAGTAAGTTTAGAAAAAGTTTCGATATAAATATTCACCACTAATCTACTGTCTACATCCTCTTCTTCAAATTAAGGAGCCCGGCCAAGCATAACAAGAGCCTTTGACGGTTCCATATCTCTTCTGAAACATGCCTACTCATCACAGGATGATATTCCCATCGATCACGAAAAATCACTCGACACCTTTCTTAAAGTTGCCGCATGAGTCATTTCTTGGCGAACCAGGCGAATCACGATCTGGGAAACTGTTTCAAATCCGTTGTCGGACCCGTGCGTAGTCTCGACCGCCTGGCTTTCAATTAAAACCATCCCAGCTCTCATCCAACTAAAACTTCATCACGTCCTATGTGTAACTAGGTCTGTTCTGTCTAGCCCTAGATACCGATGCCATCTTGGGTACTGTGCTCAAAACGATCGTGGGGACATTTTCCTTCCTTGAGTTGAAAAGATGACCAGCGCTTTGACCGTATTTGACTCCAAAACGATTCGCGGGGGTTCGGCAAAAACCCCTAGGCAGATCGTCCGGGGTAGACGCACTGCAGACACCCCCCACGTCGCTACCATGTCTTGCAAGTTGCGGCTCTTTAGCTGGTCACGAGCCCCCGAATTAGCAAATAAATAGCACTTGAGTTATTCTAGTGTCGCTTCCAAGAAATAGGATAAGTCATATTTTGCATATGGATCAGGGCCCAAAGATATAAAACGCGAGCTATAAAAAACAATCGATACAAATTGTGCAATCTGTGAGATCTAATATGCGTGCGATAACCCTTGGAACCCCTTGAGCTCTCTCACTACGGGAGGGGAAACATGGAGTGTTCTTCAAAACTTTAAATCATTATCAAAACTAAGGCCTCCTGAACCGACCCTCCCATTCAGATGTTGCATAAAGTTTTGGATATGCCGGATAAAGGACGCATGGAGGAGATGCTCTTGGCACCGGTACAAAATTTATGATATAAAAAAAAATGTCCTGCGTCCCTCATCTCATGCAAAAAAGCATCCCCTATCCTCTACCAAACGACGAGGTTTAAGGCTTTCAGTGCCGTACCATGGGTTTCGTCACGGACGATCACTCGGCCACCAATTAAACCGCCGGAGAGTTGTTCGGGCTAAAACACGTACGCATGAGTTAAAATTTCACAAAATAAATTCAGGTACGCCCTATATGGAGGAGAAGCAATATATGTCCTGCCAAGATTATGGGGCGCCTATGCACACAGTAAGCTTGATAACACTCCTCAATCGTCACTGCGTCCACCTGCCTCATCAATCTCATCAATAATCAACTCTATTTCAGTTAATCAGTATCGGAATTAGAATCCTGATTTGTCTATTACGTGAGTCAACTTGAAGGTTTTCTAGACTCGGGATGTCACCGCGGCGACCTTGTAGTATACGAAGGGCTCTCCTTAGCTGTTCTTTTCGACTTCCGGACAATGACTAGAAATAGATAAATACATTACGAGAGGTTGCATACGTATACCGAAACATCAGAAAAAGATCGGAGTGATTCAACAGGGGAATTATACACCAAAATTTCAATATCACCGCCCAAATAGCATTGCCTCCAGTTGGCTTATACCCTCCTGTCTTGGAACGAATATTCTCGGGTTTGGCGGAATTTGAGCTATGTGTATCTTGGGATAGCATATTCTATCCCGCCCTACCCAGTGAGTGCTTCTGGCGATCGGGTTTCGTCACATCCAGATCATAATACTATCGGTTTACAAGTTATTCATAACACACCACTCTACGAAGCTGTCTGTGATGGATCTCGCGACCAAAAGCGTCCAGCTAGTGCACCCGAGCGCTCCTCGGGAAAGAAAAAAATATTGGTGTAGTTAGCCGCCATGGTATACTTGGTGTATATGTTGTATACATACCGCAGCGATTGATTCTAATGACTGGGGATTCATACATGGGCCCGCGTTCCCTGTTGCTCATTTGATTGTTTGTCTTGATTTCATGTGAAGCTGAGCTGAGATGCTGGAGGCTGCGAGTCACGGATCTGCTGGGAATGAACATGCGTAAAGGTGCAGAAACAGATAGGGATGATATGGGCTATTTACACATGTATATCACCTTTTGCGCTCTCCCCACATATACGTTATGCTCACAGACTCACAGACTCACAGTTAGGTGTACATGTGTAAGTACACTCGAAAAACTCCATAATAATGATGAATATTGAGCTCACCTACCCTGGCCTAAGACAGCTAGCTATGACTAGGCACCCTTCAATTCATGCCGGATGGCCAGCTACAAAATGGAGTTTGTCAAGTCTGTCGAGAACAACGTGATCGAACACATTATCCGGAATTTAATCTTACCTATATTCCATTTTCGGGCCGAGGCGCAGCTGTGCCGAGGTCTAGGGTGAATATTCAACCAGCACTATCGTTTATCACAAGGCTCTTCGTCACAGATTATCACTCGCACGCTTGACTCGGCCACCAAACAAGATTTCGGTTCCTTAATCACAGCAACATACCGAATACCTGCAAATATTTTCCGAAGTAAGAATGAAACCAACAATTACAAAAAAGAAACTACAATACGTCTAAAACAGCTTCGGCCAAAACACCGGCGTATTCCTCTTCCACGCCTCATACTCCTTCCTGCCACCAAACCTCTTATCATACTTCTTCTCCGACAACGGCACCCCGGACACCCTCGTCAACAACAAGTACGTAAATACGGGACTCACTACACTCATCATCACGCCCACCGCGGCACCCCCGTAAAACTTCGCACCCATCCCACCTACCAGCCCTCCACCCAGCCCAGCAATTACCGCACTCCCAATCCACAGCGTCGTCTCACCGGCGTAGTTTGGATGCCTACTGAGCGCCCATAGGCCCGCGTGGAGGAAGTCCTCGCTGTGTTTATTGGCACGCTTGTCGGCGGTCCAAGAGGCCTTTTGACGGTCGGCGGCGACCTCGAGGAGGAAGCCGCTAACCCAGAGGGTGAGGCCGAGGTAGTCGCTTGTGCGCAGGGGTGGAAGGACGGCGGCGGGGAGGCTGTTTGTGGCCATGATTGGGAGGGAGACAAGTGTGATCCAGGTGGCTTGGGCAAAGAAGGCGATGGCAAAGCTGGTGGGCTGGGGTGTGTTAGTAGGTCATCATGAACTGAGTGGGGAAAAAGGGGGGCGGGGGTACGTTTTTCTTGATCTTGTCGAAGCGCGAATCACTACCGTCCCGTAGCACCCGGTTGAATAGGAAACTGCCCACTACAATTATTGACCCCGGTTAGCCTCCCGCCATAGCTCCCAGCCAGCAACCAGTGGAGAACAAAGAAGTTAAGTTATATGCACATACATCTCGCCGCCCACAGCGCGGTAAGCCCGCTGAGTATCAGCTGCCGGGGATGAAAGTCGGTGAGTGCAGGCCATACAGGTATTGGCAGACCATCGGCGGCAGCAAGGCTTCGGGCACGGTAGGCGGGGAAGTAGAGGGAGAGTAGGGTACACGAGAGATAGGTCAGTGAGCCGGAGAGGTCGTAGAAGCGCTCCGTCTGGAAGATGATGGAGGGGATGGCGGCGGCGGTTTGCAGGGCGTAGATGAAGCCAATGGTGGGTAGGAGGGTGCGCGGGGCGGGGTTGAGGGTGGAGAGGAGGGGCATCGCAGATATATGTGGGTTTGATTTGTGGAATTGGGTTAGTTTGTTACTTGTTTTCAGTGAAAATTTGTTTTGTTTATTGGTTTTGGGGGGTTGGTATGAGATTGATATTGGTGTTATGATATTATTATTGATATGTACAGGATGGGGCAGGACAGAGGAGTATTTGAAGATTTTTTGGGTTTTGAACCGTGACGGTTCGGGTAGACATGAGGCCGGAATCGATGGGTAGATGGGGTGGTGACGTTGTGGATCGCGCAATGGAACGGCGGGCAGCGATCAGTGCAGAGAGAGACAGGCAACTATTGCGCGAGGTGAACCCCTGCCTCCGCTGCTTGCGGTTGGGGAATTGGGAGCGGGATATGGGCGGTGGTCTAGGCAAGTACAGTCTGCACTCTAGATCTGGAGTAGTGAGGTACGCAGAAACACACAATTGGTATGGATACATGTAGCTCTGTAGCAGCTAGCTCATGGGCCCTGATAGCTAGCTCGTAATTATTAGTAGACATCTTGAACAACTGGGTTAGAGTGATGCTTAACGTTGTAGACTCAAGGTATCTGTGCCATGATACACAGCCATTATGGAAACAGGCATAGTCGCAGTATCGACGTTGGCGATACCGCACGCAGAGCTCGATTCTGGCCGCGAACGACAGTCGTTGAGTATCGCGGCTCCTTGGCTGTCTGTGGTTGTGGTTGTGTAACTTGTGTTGCAAGCAGCCCCTGTCCCTGCCAAGCCCTCGCTTGTGGCTCGGGTGTGGAGTTGAGTGTGGAGATGTGATGGGCTGGGCCCTTACTCTAACTGATCGTTGATTAGTAGCTGTGTGTAGCTTAACTAATTCCGGCTAGGGGGTGAGTGAGAGTTCATGATACATACATGTATGCACTTACATGTATGTAAATATACTCTATTGGCTCTCTATATAAGACGTCACTCTGCCTATGTACTTGTATGCCCTGTTCTCTGCTTGGAGTACTCTATTTAAAGTACAATGCCGCTTGATCTGGGGTTCCAAGGTATGTATGTCTCTCGGACACTTTGTTACGCGTTAACGTTCAGCCCGCGGCGCGTGCTGCTGCATTTGCATGGTCTACCTTCCTTCCCTAGGAAGATCAGATCAGATCAGTAGGTACTCTACCTGCTCTCCTAGGTAGAACAGCTAGGGACACCGTACTTGCTTCTACTCTACCAACTCGTATTCTAGGTAGCCTGTAGTCTCAGTGGCTGGGTGCTCTGGCTACTTTCCTTTACGGGAACCCCTGCCAATATGCCAGTCCCACCGGTGGTACGATGATTGGTTGTGCTGCCCGGGAGACTTTGACTGTTACACAACAAGGCAATCCCCCGGGGCCCGACCCCCCTGTTACAAAACATGCAGCCGCGAGGGTTCTTCTCCTCCTACCCAAGCTGCGGACAGAGAGTTACATACATGTACATGTAGTTACCTAATTGTTGCACAGCACTCTCCTCTCCCTCGCCCATCATCACCATCATCATCATCCATCATTCCCCCACAGCCAATCGGGAATCCATCCCATCTACTCTATTGGCAAGGTAAGTAAGCACTACTGCTGGCTGAGCTTAAACGCAGTCTCATCTGCACTGCGCCTCGCTCTGAGCTGTGCTTTTCTTCCTCGGGGATCTTTCTCTGTGTAACCAGGGGACACTCTATTAGAGCCTTTTAATTCCCCCCTCCCTCATTCCACTCACTCCCCTCGCTACCCCCCCCCCCCTCCTTCAGTAGCAGCAGTAAACCGCCCAGCATGCTGCCCGTCATTCTCGCCGCCCTCACAACCCTCACCCTCACCCAAGCCCAGCAGTACGGGTACCCGCCGCCCGTCAGGGACAGCGCGAGCTCCGCACGCCGTACAACAAGGAGATTATCGTCCGCTACAAGAACCCGACGTCGGAAATATGTGCAACGCAGAACCCGGACCAGAAGCAGTTCACGGGGCATATCCATATGCCGCCGGGAACGCTTGCGCCGGACGTGGTGCAGAATTATCCGATCAATTCGTTCTTTTGGTTTGTGGAGGCGAGGGAGAATCCCGAGAGTGCGCCGTTGACGATATGGTTGAATGGAGGGCCGGGTGAGTTTTTGTATTTTGTGTTTTGTGTTTGTGTTTTGTGGAGATGATGGCTGCTGGGTGGTGGGTGGGACGAGTGGAACGAGTGCTAATCGGTGCTTTGGGGAGACAGGGAGCTCGAGTATGGTAGGGATGTTTACGGAGTCGGGGCCGTGTACGGTGGTGGAGGCGGGGAGAGAGTCGATTCATACAGTGCCGAGGGAGTGGGGATGGGATCGTGCGAGTAATATGTTGTTTTTGGATCAGGTTGGTGGTTAATTCCAGAGTTCAGGCCCGTTATATATCATCGTGTGTATGAGTGATAGCTCATGATTTCCCACAGCCAAACAAAGTTGGTTACTCCTACGACGTGCCTACAAACGGCACACTTCCGCTCGCCGACACGAGCAGTACTTACATAACGGGCACAGTCGCGCCCCCCGAGTTCCAAACCTACCAGGACCTCGGCTACACCGACGAGGAGTTCGTCTCTCACTATGACGAGCTCTACGACAGGATTGCCCTCATCAATGGCACTTTCCCCACCAGCGGCGCCAACTCGACCGCTAATACTACTGCCATCGCCGCGCGCACTGCCTGGCATTTCCTTCAAGCTTGGCTCACCAACTTTCCGCAGTACAATCCCAACAGCACGGGTATCAACCTGTTTGCCGAGAGCTATGGCGGCAAGTATGGGCCGGCGTTTTTTGAGTTCTTTGAGCAGCAGAATGAGGCCCGTGATAAAGGGGATTTGGATAAGGAGAGTACGATTGAGCTGCATCTGGAGACGCTTGGGATCATCAATGGCTGCATTGATGCAAAGCTGCAGACGACGAGTTATCCGATATATGCGAACGAGAATCCGTATGGGATTGAGCTTCTCAACGCGAGTGATATGGATCAGCTCTTGGAAATGTATTACGCTGAGGGTGGGTGCGATAGTTTGATTGATGCGTGTAGGGAGAGCGTGAGGAGGTTTGATCCGCTGAATAATGGAAACCATAAGGCGACGAATGATATTTGTCAAATGGCCGACAATGAGTGTAATATTATTAGATATTACAGTTGGTATAATAGCTCGAAGTGAGTTCCTTTTTCTCTATATATATTTACCTTTTTCCTTCTTAAGACTGTGGGTACTAATGGGTGTGGACCGGTAGGAGTTATTATGATCTCGCCAATAACTTGGACGACCCCTTCCCAGGGTACTTTTATCTCGAGTACCTTAACAACGCCACCGTGCAGGAGGCCATTGGTGTCCCAATAAACTACACCCAAAGCAACACGGGCGTTTACACAGCATTTGACCAGAGTAAGTTTGCATATCCCGCACATCGATCATTGACCTCTTCTAACAGCCACTAAGCCGGCGACTTTGTCCGCGGCGGCCAAACCGAAGCAATCTCCTACCTCCTGGAGCGCAACGTCCGCGTCGCCCTTCTCTACGGCGACCGCGACTTCATCTGTAACTACATGGGCGGCGAGACAGTCTCCATGAACATCTCATACTCCGACAGCGATGCCTTCCGCGCCGCCGGCTACCAGGACGTCCGCATCAACTCCTCGTACGTCGGTGGACAGGTGCGCCAGCACGGTAACTTCTCGTTCACACGCATCTACCAGGCCGGCCATCTTGTCCCGTCGTACCAGCCCGAGACGGCATTCGTGCTCTTTGAGCGCGCGATCTTGGGCCAGTCGCTCGCGACGGGAGAGACCATTAACACAGAGGGAAACAACATCTACTCGACCAGTGGCGACAGCGTTGCAGATGACAAGCTGCAGGTTCCAGACCCATTCAAGCCCCAGTGCTTTGTGAGGAGTATCGAGACGTGCACGGTCGACCAGATACAGATGATTGCGGCGGCGCGGGGTGTGATTATTAACGGTGTGCTGTATAATAGCACTGATGAGTGGACGCCGCCGGCGACATCCTCGAATGGTGGCGGCTCGGGGTCGGGGAATTCGAGCGGTGGTGGGGCCGGTAGCGGGGAGCCGGATGCGGGTGTGGTGGTGAGGGCGTCGATGGGGGTTGTGGTTGGTGCGCTGGTGTTGGCGGTGTTGGGCGGGCTGTAGTTGGGGCCGGCGGGGATCGATGAATGAGAGGTGTATGGACTAATGTTAATGTGGCTGGGGAGTGATTGATACACGGACCGGACCTTCATGCTTGATACCTCCTTGTCTAACTTTTTTTTCTTTCTTTTTCTTTTCTTTTCTTTCTCTGGCCGCGTTTGTCGCTGCTGCCGGATGTAGGGTAGGTAGTATACTGTAAGTTACGAGTATACACCTAGGGAGATCTTACGTAGGTTATCGCGCGGCTACCCGGCCATCGGAGGAGGTAGGAGAGGTGAGAGGGGTAAAATACATAATAAATATTTACCTTTTACCTTGCTTTTGTGAACCTTGTGACATCCGTAATTTATTCCTTTTGTGACATCCGCCTCTTTCGTTTTTGTGATTTGCACTAAGTGGGGCATATTTCCTGTTTGTGAACTTTTTTTTTATTTTTTATATTGTTTTGCATGATTGGCCGGGCCCGCCGGGTGAATTGGGTTAGGGTTAATGCAGCGGTGGGTCAATGAGAGTGGTGCGGGTATTTCCGCGCGTTCGGACGTCGGTTGGGACGGGGTGGTGGAGGGAAGGGGAGGAAGGAAGGGCAGGGAAGAAAAAAATATTCTCCGAGAGGCCTGGTTAGGGGATAGTGGCACTGGGGCGAATGGTGTAGTAGGTGTTTGTTGGGGATTTTTGGGGGATGTTTCTTTTGCGGGTTGGGGGGAGTTGCGGTTGGGGGGGGATTGGGGGATGGCGGGCAGCGTCATGAGACTTTGTCGTAATCATTATTGTAGGTAGTTAGCTAGAGACACAGAGAGAGAGTTGGCACTGTCAAGGTGCTGTCAAAGGTGTCAAAGGTAGAGTAGGGACTGGGTTAGGTGATCCTATTGACGGATTGGTGAGGTTGGTTATGGTTGGTTGAGTTGGTGGTGTTTGGCCGATTGGGTGGACACGGTAAGAAACCTGAGTTCTAGGTCAGATCATGCCGCCGGATGGATGGATGGATGGACGGACGGCACCGGACGGCGATCTAGTTTGGCGTTGTCACTGAGTATTGAGCAAGCACGCACGGAGGGTCAGGGTGTGGATGACCTGGCATGGTGGTGGGCTAACGGCCGACCCGCATGTAGCTCTGTCTGTCTGCTCTGGTCTATGTGGTCTGTTTGGTCTGTGTTGGACTGGACTGGACAGCTGAGACTGAGACGGCGTGCGGGCTTACTCTGCTCTGCTCTAGCTAGCTAGCTGGTTGGTCGTGTTTGCTATGAGCGGTACGGTGGGAGAGGTGGGAGAGGTCAAAACGTCCCCGCTTTGGGAGCTGTGCTTGGAGGGAGTAAGCTTGGGAGGCGGCCGAGTTTGGGAGCTGCCTGCCAGTCTGGTGGGTGGGTGGGTGGGTGTGGTGAGGGGGAGTGGATGGGTGGTGAGGGGGAGTGGACGGGTGGTGATGGGTGGTGAGGGGATGAGGGAAGGAGAGGGTGTGGGATCGGCGCGGCGGCCGAGTTGGCTAGTGGTGGTGGAGGGGTTGAGTGGGCTGCTGTCAGAGCTGGCTGTGGTGGGATCGCCAGCGCAGTGATCCGCGCTGGACGCTGGACGCGGACACCTCGTAAGGCGTGTGTCTGATATAGATAGAGGTATATATCTGTATTCAGCTGTATATGTAGCTAGTTGGGTTTGTATTACGGTAGCTGCACAGGCAGGCGGGGGATCGGGGGGAGAGGGCAGATGGAGATCGATCGGAGAAGAGGGGCCCAGGGAACGGTTTTCCCCTCTTCTTCGTCGTGTTCTCTAGATGGTGTGTTTCCTGTTTTGCTGTTTCTGTTTTCTGTTTCCGGTTTGTGTGGTGCAGCTGCAGCTGGCTGGCTGGCTGGTGATAGTTCATGACCCAGGGTTAGGTGAGTGATACGGGAATGGTTTAGTAAGTTTAGTAAGGACGGAAAGATGCGGTTTGGCTTGGTTTGTGCCAAGCGATCGCGGATCTGACTGGACTGCAGGGCTAAAGGAAAGAACTCAACTCAGGCAACGGGCAGAGAAGAGCGCAGAGCCTGTCAAGTCAAACCCTCGCCGTCAATTCAATCAATTGCATCTATCTCGACTTCTTCTTCTTCTTCGAATACCCTCACGTCACATCACACCACACCACCCCACCACCCCACACACAGCACAGCACACAGCACACAGCACACCCACCACAATGGCAACCCCAACGCCACCGCACCTCCGCTCGCTCTACCGCGCGCTGCTGCGCGAGCTGCCGCCCCTCGCGGCCCGGCGCACGCCGCTGCACCACGACTGCGCGACTCGTTCCGCGCTTCTTCGGGGACGGGGGAGGCGGAGGCGGTGGAGTTGGTGCGGTATCTGAGGGCGCAGAGAATGTATGCGACGCTGCTGGAGAGGTATAATCCGGGCCTGGGGAGGGAGACGGAGGATAGAGTGAGGTTGAGTGCGAGGAGGGTGGGGCTGGAGATGCCGAAGGAGATGGCGGGGAGGGGGTAGTGTGGTGGATGGTGGGGGAGGATTGGTGGGGTGGAGGGGAGGGGGGGGGGGGTGTGAGGGAATAGGAGTAGGAGGGGGTAGTGAAGTGGGTGGTGATGGAGATGTTGGATATTGCTATTACTATTGCTATTGCCATTGCTATTGCTATTACTAGATTGCAGATATCAATGTTGGGCCGATACACTCTCTCTCTATACCTGCCCTATCCTCTCGGACATTAATTCCAGCCTGTCCGCTATCAGATCAGGTCAATTGTCAATCCCCACCAGTGCGCGGTGTGCTATCTTTATCTCTCTCTTCTCTCTTTCTCTGTCTGTGCACCCTGTCCTGCCCTGCTGCATAGCATACAGCTTCCTCTCCAGTCCCAGCCCAGAAGCCGTTGTCAAAATATGCAGCCCGATCATTGTCCTTCTCCCCTCTTCCACCAGCCTTCCACCCTTCCACACCTGCATACTGCACCCAAGCTAAGTAAGCACCAACAGACTCGAGTATGTAGGGCTATAGATATAGCTATGTACTCTAGCTAGCTATGAGGCCTGCAGGAGTGGTAAGAGGGGGGGCAGCCTACCCTACCCAATACCTACTCTACAATGGGCTCGTGGAATATTCGCGCGCTTCATACGCGTAATCGCCTCATAGCGGTTTCAGTGTTATGATAATTTAATTCTCCGCACTGTACTGTCAGCTTGCCTTGTGATGCCTTGTGGTTGTGACACCTTGACCAGACCAGCCCCTCAATATGTTGCCTTGCTGCCCCTCCCCCTCCCCCGCTATGTATTGTATTGTACGAGGAGTTGATGCGTATCGATACGTCGGTTAGGTGGGCAGGGGGCAGGGGGCAGGGGTAGGGGTAGGGGGCAGGAGGGGCAAGGAGAAATTAATTTCCGCACCCGGGTCGAGGGGCTAGGTAGCTTATACAGTGCACTGGTATAGTAAGTGTAGGGAGTATAGGGAGTATAGGGAGTGTAGTGTAGTACTATAGAGTAGAGTAAGTGTAGTGGATAGATATATCCCTGGTTTCGGGTTGCGGTGACCTTTGTTTGATCTGCGGACGGGGTGTGCGATAGAGTGGCTGTGACCTGGAGCGCTGGTGTCATGTGAGACGGCGCGGGAGGTGGGACGGGACGGCGTGGGACGGAGGGCTTCTGGAAGTGTTTTGTGTTGTGTGTGCATGTGGTGTGGTCATGGTCACGGGTTATGTAAGTGGGGAGGGAGGGACGAGGGAAATGATTGTTTGGGCAGGTATTGCCTTGTTATTACTACATACTACGCCGCTTGATCATTACCAATTATCTAACCAACTATCTACACAGCTATATGTAGTTACACAGTAAGTACATGTATCCAACTTCTACAACAACTAAATAAAAACCAACAACAAATTATATAAAACCAGCTATTCAGTCAGCACCCTCAAACCCACCCATCTCCACACCCTCATCACACCCACAAAACCCCTCCACCACGACTACCCGCCACCCATACCGCACGCCCTCGATCCCGCGCCGCAGCAGCGCCACGTCCGCGTCGTACGCAACGTCCTCGCCCGCCTTGTACACGAAGCAGCGGTCGCCCCCGGCGTGGAGTAGGTCTTCGGCGTCGGCGTGGAGCGCGGCGAGCGCGCCGCAGTGTGGGTGGGATGAGAGCGCCGCGGTGATGTGCGTGTAGAGCGTGGCGTGGAAGTCGTCGAGGAGGGTGATGGCGGTGCGGTAGGCGGCGGTCTGACGGGTGGGGCGGCGGCGATGGGTGGGGGTGCTGGTGAGGAGTTCGTCGAAGAGGGTGGGCATGGTTGGGGAGTTCATTGTTTGGATTTTTTTTTTTGGTTATTGGTGGATAGTAGTAATATTTGGTTGATGTAGTGATTTTATTGGTGCTAATGGTGGTGTTTTTGTTGGCTGGTTTGGTTTGAAAAGAGGCCGTGGGCGAGTCGCTCTTATGGCGGGGGGTTTGCATTTCAAGATGGGCATCTTGAAAGTTATTTTTGAGGATTATCGTGAACTTGAAAACCGATGGGAGGGGTTCGTTGTGGTATTTGAAAAATGACTAGCGTAGTGAAAATTGTAATAAACACTCAATGTGGTTAGTGTATGCTGTGTTGTGTGTGTGTGTTACGGCTGAAAGATATTAGGATCTGAGATGCCAAGATCTGGGTTACAACTGCGATTGTTTTTATTTTCGACTCGACTGGGACGGGTGGTACTAGATAAGTTTTGCTTGCGGAAAACTAAATGTGGCTAGTGTCTGGGTGGTTGTTACTATTGTTGCTGTTACCGTTGCTACTAATTCTACTAATGCTACTATTACTACTTGTAATAATAAATTATTACTATTTTGACCACCACTGGAGCTGTGATAGACGATAATTTGACTCGGCCCCCAACAACACTAAGTCACGCTCTAATCCGATAAACGGGCGTATAAAGGTATTATGATTGATTGTGTCCCTAATCATCGAGGGTGATGAGGGTTACTAATACACAATGGCTAAGAATACTTGTCTTTATGAGAAGGCCACAATTTTGTTCTCTGGCAGGAGCGTCAGCCGCACTAACTTGACTGATGTGTTAGGAGTAATCCAAACACCTCGCTGCAGCCGAGGACAACTAAACTTTTATGCTAAGAGGTTGATTAAACATTGCGCCGGAGGACAGCTGTTCCCACGCCAAAGGGTATATAAGCAACGCCTCTCTCCCAATCATCATTCCTTTCCCATCGTGCATCCACATACCGCAACTTTTCGCCACCGCTCAAACGTGTCCTATTGACACTTTTGACAGTCTTCCATTCCCCCGCTCCAACCACGAAAAAATATCGGAATGTCACGATTGCATACCCGTGACCGGATCCGTTGTGCTACGGCAAGTGGCTGAGTGGCGGTGGAATCTTGGTCTATGTGGCATTCTAGACCCTTTTTTGTTTATTTTTACTTTTACAGTTTAAATCTACAGATCTAACCACATGTCAAAGATTTCGCAAAAAGACCAAGACCAGATCTCGAGAGATGAGAAACGGCTTTTGTGCCCGAACCTGCCAGCGTCACACAATCACAACATATCACTCGAACTTTCCAACCAATCATCTACTCGTCCAATAAGTTCAGCTGGGGGGGATGCGGGTCACTCGAACAAACACGCAGGCGGTGATACATGCATGCAATGGACATCGATCCATCCATCCAACATGACGATCCGATTCCGGAACAATCAACCACGTAGGCAACTCTTATTAGAGGGGCCTGCCGACGCCTGGATCAAATGATACAGTGGAGTGCGTACCTGTTCGTGGGAGGAAGTGAAAAAAAATCTAGGAAACCGCACCTTGCAAGAAAAAGTTGGATGTGATGATTCATGGGACTGGGATTTAGAATTTTCTTTACGAAGCTTCTAGAATCTGGGAAGTTAGGAACTGAACAGGATTTTGAAAAGGATCCTCGCTCGACAGCGCAGAGTGTCTAGAATATAGTGGGCGGATAGGGTAGGGTAAAACCGGAGTGACATGTGAATGTTAGACTAGGAAGAGGGGGGTGGACGATAAATGTCACGGTCACATCCATAGCGGGGAGAGGGGAAAGAACGCTGAGGATCTGGTCAATTCTTATATTCCTCCCCCCACTCACACAGGCCCACCCCCCGCGTTACATTCTACCGCACCAATGTGTGCATCTCTTCTCGTATCCGGTCCAGTCTTCGCATAAATTATACCTTCAAGCGAGAAGGATACATACATGTATGCTTAATTCGCTCATCCGCTGCATTTTTTTTCGAGCACTTGAACCCCCCAACCAACGGGCCGGATTGATTCCAAAGTCGACATTGGTACCTACATATATCGCCATCAACCTCTTATCGACCGTTTGCCCCCCCACAAACCGAGTAGAGAACACGGCCAGTTATAATTATCTCATCACGATCCGCGTACCATTAACCACGTTGCAATTGCAATTGAGAGCAGCAACCCGCTAAGATAACACAACAGCTAACTAATTAACAGCCTTCCCCTCCATCACGATTGAGTTCCCAATACCATACCACACACCAGTCCTCCTCTTCGATCCTGGGCACCAAGCGCTACTGCCCCCCCGCCCCCCTGTACGACGTACCCCAGACGGATACGGTAGGGGAGAACCTAGCAATTGTAACAATTCGTCTCAAACTCCGCCCCCCGGGAGCAACTCCTGTGCGATTGGGATAAGGATTGTGCGTTTTGTGCCAACTTTTTTCCCTTCTCAATGCCCCCACCAAGAATCATCAAGGGTTAGGTGAGGGGGAGTAGTAAGGTGAAGGATTCTTGTAGGCGGGTGCGAATATCAACGGCATGCAACTCAATTCCTGGTGGGAAAGGAAGAAAACTCCTCGGACCGCCGGAGGGGGTGAGGGGCTGAGCTAGCTAGCTAGGTTACCTACATATACAAGGAAGTTAGTAACGGGCTTGAAACATACGGGCTTTTTTTCTTGCTCAATGGATATGATATACTCCTTCGACGGTAGCAGTAGCAAGGCACCACATGTTTCCACTGAGAAGCTCGAGTCACAAAAGTTCTTCAAGTGCAAAAGTGATATATGTAATAAGTTGTTTTTTTAGGTTTCATTTAGGAGAAGTTCGTATCTTCAAATGTTCTCGTTTCCATACTATACATGAAAAAGCGTAGCAAAAAAAACATAAAAAGATAGTGAAAAAGAATGTCAGTGCAAAAAAAAACCAAAAACCGCAAAGCAAAAAAATGGTACAGAAAAAACACCATATAAAAATAAAGTCCCCCCGGAAAGCCAAAAAACATAATAACCATGATATCATCAAGTCAAAAAATATAGGGAGGACATCAAAAAAAAAAGCAGGCGCAGTATGTACCGTGCGCGAAAAGATAATGAAAAAAAAAACAGACCCAACGCCCACCCCACCCCATCCCCCAGTTCGTTCCCCCCAGAGCGTGCCCTTTTTCGGTCCGACATAAGAAAGAAATAAAGTACCGTTACAAGCTGTTGTATCCTGTATCCCCCAAAACATAAGAGAAGAGCTAAGCAGCTAGAAGCCAGAAAAGAAGACAGCAAAATTAGCACGGGACCTCCCCCAATAGCCATGGGTTACCCGCGTTCTATGCCCGCCCCGGTATATAATAGAAAGAGAAGAAAAAAAGGCACTAAAAGCTATAGATGAGAAATAATAGTAAAAAAGAGAAAAAAAGAACCCACACGCCCCAAAAAAACCCAAAGTAAAAGAAAAAAGAAACCGCTTCATCATCCACTTCATAGATACTCCCTCGCCAGCGCCGCCGGTGTAGTAGTAAGAGTCCGTCCGCGACTCCGACTCCTACTCCCCGCAGGACTCGCGCTCGCCAAAAACCTTGAAATCGTCGCCGACACGCCGCGGCTGCGCTTCTCGCGCACCACGCTGCTGACCGCACCCTTCTTCTCCTCCCGGCCACGGCGGCCCGCGCAGCTGCTGTCAACGCTCGACACGCTCCCGCTGCGCGCCAGCGTCGGGATGACCGCCGACGACGGCGCGGTCGATGGCGGGGTTGGGTAGTTGTAGTAGTCGGCGGCAGCCAACGACGACGCCGACGACGCCACGCTCTTCTCCTCCTCCTCCTCCTCGGAGGAGCGGCTACTGCTGCTATCGACGCTGCGGTCCGATGCGCGCGAGCTGCGGCCCGAGCTGGGCGGCGTGGCGCAGTCGTAGTAGTAGTAGTCGCTGTGGAGGTCGTTGTGCTCGGCAATCATGGGGGCGAGGAAGGGCTCGAGGTGCTCGTAGAGGTCCTCGTTTGTGATGCGCAGGTCCCAGTCGAGCAGGAAGAGCATCTGCTTCTCCATCAGGTTGACCTCTGTGAGCGAGAAGCCAAAGGCCTCGAAGCCGCGGACGGCGCTGTAGCGCGCCCAGTGCTTGTTCTTGGGCGATGAGTCGTTGAGGTTCTTGGCGGCGAGGATGAGTGATGCGAGGAAGATGCGGTGCACGGTGCAGCGCATGCCTTTTGCGACGGAGGGGAGGCGGCGCTGAAGGCGCGTGAGGTAGACGAGGGAGGACATGAGCGTGGGGACTTGCACGTGGCTGCGGTCGACGAGGGAGGTGATGAATTGTTCGAGGGTGGGGAGCGGGGGGGAGTTTGATGGGGTGGTGGTGGGGGCGGTGGTGGTGCTTGGGGGCTCGCAGCGGATGACGGTGCTGGCGGTGAGGGCGAGGTGTGAGATCATGGCGGGGGTGACGGGCATGCGGACGAAGGACTCGAGAGCGGCCTTGCGGGTTAGGGTTTGGGGTAGCATTGTGTTGATAGTGTATGTGTGTGTGCGTGTGTGTGGTGGTGTTGGTAGGAGCGGTAGCCGGAAGTCGAAGACTCTTGTGACGGAGGGCGGACTAGGTATTAGATACTATTGAGTATGTAGTAGTAGTAGTAGTAGTAGTAGTAGAAGCTTGTGTTGGGATGATATGTAGTAATAGTATATAAAGCCCGCGCGTATATATATATATATTTAGATATAAACTCTTTTTTTGTTCGACAGCCCCAAAATGCAAATGCAGATTCAAAAAAGCTTAAGCCCCCAGAGTAAAAAAATCCCCAAAAGAAAATCAAAAAATACGATCTTTCTCAAAACTGACTGTGTCGCTATCAAAGTGACAACAGGAGTGAGTGGGTGGGTGGGAGGGAGAGCAGAGGCTGTAATATATATATATTATGGATAGCTAGCCCTTTTTGTTGTATTGTAATCCAGTGATGAGGCGCAGGGATTTTGATTGGGTGTGTGTAGTAGTGTGTATGTGGTCTCGGACCGGTTGGGTTGTAGTAATTCAAGTAACCTTTTTTAATGTAGGAGGGTGGTTGAGGAGGAGAGATGCTGTGGTTTATCGTGAGGGTTGGGTTGGTGGTGGTGGTGGTCGTGGGGAATGTTAGAAATTATAATGTAGTAATTGTGGATGGCGTTTCGCTGTCGGTATTCGTCGTCGACAGTACAGAGGATGGATGAGATGGGTGATGGATGATGATGAAGCACAGCCTGGGAGAGTGAGCAGAAAAAAAAAGTCTGGGGGTGGTGGGCGGGCGGCTGGTGCTTTTAAGATCAATCGTCGCTTCAACTCGCAGGCAGGGGGAAGGAAATATGTCTTGTATGTACGTGTGTGGGAGGGGAGGGGATTTGGGGGGGGGAGAGAGAGGGAGGAGGATTGCTGGTGGATGGGAGAGGCTACTACCACCAGTCTACCACTCTACCACTGCACTGCACTGCTGCTGCTACTCGATGGAAACACTGGATGGACCCAGGTCACGGTCTGCTGCTGCTTGACGCGACACGCCCGCACTCCCAAAACAGAAACAAATCACACCTAGGGAGATCCTATGTTGGGATGTACGTCCCGCCGCAAGGGGTGCACCGGTGGAGGGAGGGTGGGAGGGTGTGTGTGGGCGTGTGGTAGGAGAGCGTGCGAGGAGCGTATGGGATGGGTGGGATGGGGTTGCCAGGGCACGTTCCAGTCAGTAGTCTTCAGTCTTCAGTCAGTCCAATCCAAACGCCAAGCAGGGGGATGGGTAGAGCAGATCGGTAGAGGCAGGCAGGCAGGAAGGCAGCACAGCACAGCACAGAAGAGAAAGAAGAAAAAGTCCACACTCCTTCACACACGCTCACTCACTCACTCACTCACCCACTCACAAAGAGTCAACAAAAAAAAAAAAAAAGGAGTGACAAAAAGAACTACATCCTTCTTTTCTTTCTTGTTCCTTCATGCACGCCGCCAAAAGCAGGGCAAGTGTAATACTAGAGTAGAGTAGCAATGGCCAGCACAGCGGACGCAGTGTCCTTCTTTCGGGCTTAGTTCACTGGGGCTGCACTCACTGTTTCTCAATTACGATGGATGGACGTACGGAGCCGTAACTTAACTTGCAACTTTACCAGGGTAGCAGGCCTTCAGTGCAGCAAGCAGGCAAGCTCTAGGTAAATGTAGGTTTTTTTTTCCTTCTCTAGCTACTCTACCTGCTCTAGCTCAGTAGAGTAGCTGTAGGTACTCACGAAAGACTCAATCAATCGTCATCAATGCCATGGATCCATCCATGAATGGGATGTTCTCAATTGCGAGCTCTGGTCTGTGCTGTGTCCTTCTGTGTCTGTGTCTAGAGCAGGTAGAGTAGGTAGTCTGCCCTACCTCTGATCCATCCATCCATCCATCCATTCGCCCAGTGTCAATGTCAATCAATCCATCCATCCATCAATTCCATCAATCCATCAATCCAAGACAGAACAGACAGATAGACTTGATCTACCTTCTCCACCTACCTCACCTACCTCACCTCCAAAGCAAAAGCAAAATCAAAAACGCCCCCGCCCAAAAAAAAGCCGCGCTCAAAAGTAAAAAAAAAAAAAGCACCATAAACAACGCGGTCACCCCCATCTCCAATCAACCCTCGCCAGAAACAAAAAGAGTGACGGACGTGTTGCGAATCCGAATCGTCCACCACCTCCCCACCTAAAGTCTCCGGTCCCGGAAGGGCTGAATTTAGTTCCCGCCTGCTAACTTAGTTACCATAGTGTACCTACCCCTACCCCTACCCTGACCCCTACCCTGGGCCTAGCAGTCAGTATGTGTGTAACCCTGATCGCGCTGCGGGAGTAAACTAGCCACACCCTATCTGGGAATGGCGCGCCCGACCTATTTCCGGGTGTGATTGGTTTCATCTAGCTCTCTCTCTCTCCTACGGGCCTATGTACCCTCTGCTACCTACCCTACCCTTCCCTCTGGTTTGGTTTGGTTTTTCTGCTCACTCACCTTGCTGCACTTCACGCGCGCTTGAAAGGAGGATAAATTAGTTGCACTTTATTTTTACCACTTTCGGTCACTATACATAGGTAAATAAAGCTTAGAGTAGAGTATGTACCATGTACCGTCACTGCACTGTCCCACACATACCGGATCGCTACCGAGCGCTACCTGCCTACCTACCCTCCTTCCTCGTACCTTAACCTGCTCTGCTGCCTACTCTACGCATGTACCGTAGCCGTACGTAGGTACATACATCACGTACTTTACCCTAAAGAATTGATCTGAGCTCTAATTCCGGATCGCTGGTAGCGAGCGAGGGAGTGGCGACAAGAATGGGCCGGGCGTATATACGATGGGGAATGTTTTTATAGATTTTTTGTGATCGTGGACTTGGGACCCCTTGCCCGAGATGCGCCATTGCAATTGAGACCTAATCTGATCTGGAAAGCTAGAGGTACAGTTAGTAGATAGCGGGTACTGGGGGATAGCCGGAAAATAGATCTCTATCTCTGCTCAATTGATCAATTAATCACTGCGCGTGTTGTTGGCTCTGAGAGTCACGCACCCCCCCCCCCCCCCTCTCCCCCCTCTCCCCAGAGAGTCTATGTATGTATGCGGAGAAGTGTAGAGTACTGGCATTCCCGTGATGCAATTGCTGTTCAGAAAGTGCAATATATCGATAAATGTTTTCTTTCTAGGTTGCAGTTGCTTCTTGCGACAAAAGAAAAGAAAAGAAAGATCTCGGCCCCCAATTGCGCACGGGGGAGTAGAGTAAGGTAATTACCCCACATATCAACTGCCTCACCTCACCTCACCTCACTCACTCACTCACGCCCACTCTGCGTTGCTCTGTCTGTCTGTCTCTCTGTGTTCGGGTGGTGGCACGAAAAACAAAATATCTACTGTACATAAGCAGGAAACACAAAAATACAGTAGTACTACTGTCTAAGGTAAGGCAAGGTAAGGGCACGCGTGCGGTTATTGCAACTGTTTTACGAGCTGGCCGCAAATAAACTTGTCACATAGTTATCCAGCTCTCTCTCGCAGCGCTCTCTCTGGCTGGCGAATGGCAGAGCGACAGCAACAGCATTGAAAAACAACTTGCTCCGCCACGCCGCCGCTACGGATGGGATGGGAGGAGTAACCTACGTAACGTAAAATAGATTGCATCCGCCCTACTTTTCCAGAGAATGCCGCCGCAACCCGACGACGTGCATAGATTTTCCACTCCACTTGCATGGATGGGTATGGATAGATGGGTAGGCTAGGGCGCGCGAAAGACAACAGCGACTTTATTTGTTTTGGCGTACATACATCGACCGACCCACCGACCGACCGGCGGACCGACCGAAGTTAACGACGACGGCATGTTGCGGGGTCGATGTGGGCTACATATTACTTACATAGTGCTGCACAGGCAGGTGGGAGGGGGTGAGCTCGTGGAGGAGGAGGGGTAAAAAGAAAAGCACTGTGGAGAGCTTGGAAACTTACCTGCCTGAGCAGGAAGGATGTCAACGTCGTCGATAGAGTAGACAGACTCTTCTAGCTACATAGCTAGCTAGCTACTCTACTGTCTGAGTATTGGTGATGATGACGTCTCGAGAAGGGTAGAAGGGAAAGAAAGAAGAAAAAAAAGGTTCTGCAGGGATTCACAAGGGTGCGTACTCTAACTCACTCATGAGTCTTAAGACCTTCTTCTTCTGCGCTTGTTGTCGCCTCGCTCGCTCGGGTCCAGAACGTAGTAAGCACTTGTGAAGAAGGGAGCAGCAGCACAAGCAAGCCACAAACATGACGACGGTGACAATGACCAAAGCGCCCGCACGCACGGCCACAGCTAGCGCCACCACCACCACCCCGCCATATCTGACCTACTACGACTCCAACTAAGTACGTACCCCACCACCACATCAGCACCCACGACGACAAACAAAAAAAGCACCGCAGCGCCGAAATTAAAGAGTACCTGTACCTGATATTTGGAACCAAGACCTACGTGTATGATCTAATGTAGCTGTACGATTTTACTCTGGTTGTTGTCGTTGTGACTTGCTCCACCGGGGGAGGGCCCCGGATCTACACATATATGTTGTAACTAGGACAGCTAGACCGGAGATCTAATCTCCCCCGACCCGATTAACACCGCCGGCAGACCATTGTGCTTCTTCTGCTTTCTTTTTAACACTTTTTGACTCTTTTGAGATTCGTTACTCTTCCCCCCCCCCCCCCCCCTCCTCCGGTAAGTGTAGATACATCTAGAAGACAGCTAGACAGACATATACAGACACAACGAAGCATGAATGAAACAATTACAAAAAAAACGAGATTGCGTTTGTGACTTCAGGCAGTGCACTCCCCCGGGCTTCAAGAACGTTTGAGGAAAAGAATTTTAATTAATGACATGACCCGTGGGGGGGATCGATATGAGCCATCATGAATGAGCTGGCCATGATATTGGGGCCTTACGTCGATCTGTAGTACTACTGTCCGGATCCCATTATCATTCATTGCCCCATGCCCATGGTGATGGCTCCGTTTACAATCCACTCTTACTCGGCGTAGTCCTGGATTTGGATGTGCTCATTTCATTTTCGTTTATTATAATTATTATTAAAGATATATATAGGCATATATCCAATCCAGTTTCGGTGGAGCGCGGTGGTTATTAGAAGAAGAAAAAAAAAAAAACGTCCCAATCCAATCATTGATTTTAAGAATTCTGATTTTTGATTTTTTTTTTTTTTTTTTCCTTTCCAGATGGCGCGTCCTTACCTCGCTGCTGATCAATCGCGGGGGGGGGGGGTAAGTGGCATCGCCCTATCCCATCTGATCTGATCTGCTCATTTCGTTTCATCCCTCTCTCATCGCGTCTGTTTCCCACTGGCATCACCCAATAAGCGTGCAGAGACAGCTGTCTACCATTCTGAATTCAGCTCTCTCTCTCGTTGGATCATCCCCTAGCTAGCTAGCCTGTCACTTCCGCACTAGTCCCCAAATTTTAACTTACCTTCTCGCCCATTTCACCACTTTGGGAAAAATAAGGTTATCTTTGCAACTAGAGTAGATGGGGTGGGGGAAACAAAATAGCTGAAAAAAGGGTTTCCCAATTAGAGCGCGGCGCCCCAATCAGAGAAGCGCATCCGTTTCTGTTTCTTGCTACCGTAAATAGTAGTGGGCCCTGGTTGGCCTACAGCTGGATTGGGGTAGGGTAGGTGGCTTAATGAAACGAAGCGGATGCGCCACTGACGCAACGCGTTGCTCCAGCTCTCCGCCCACTCATGAGCTTTCCCCCCCTCGTGTTCCTCCTCCGCCGAGGGGTGGCTTGTGTCTATGATCTCCCCCCCCCCCTCATCATCCCAGTAATGCAATTTAATTTATTTTCCAGAAAATCCAAAAATCCAAAGCTGAAAATAATAAAAAAGATTTTTTTTTTTTTTTTTTTTTTTCCCTCTTCTCCCGGCGGCTGTGCTCTACCTACCACTCACGCACTAGTATACTCATCAACGTAACTCCTTCATCGCCCTTTCCCTATTCTCGCCTTCTCAGCCGATAGGAGGAGGAGTGGCCATGGGCTTGATAGGAGCGGAAGGAACCTTAAATTCCCGCTGGCCTGGCCTGCGCTCAGCGGCAAACGTAGGGGTTGTGGGTCCAGTCAGTCAGTCAGGTATGAGTGGATGGAGGAGAGAGAGCGTACCTGATGATCAAACGGCCGGCGCGGGCTTGGAGGGGGGGGTCTCATCTCTCTACAGAGCTAGCTGGCTATGTACTCTACATGTAGGTGAATGACTGGCTGGCCGGCCTGGGTAGATGTAGATGGGGGCGCTAGCAAGCTACTCAAGCTAGACAGATGGCTGTGTAGATCATTATGGAATCGCTGATGGAATGAGGTGACAAACAAGAAGGCAAATTTTTATTTATTTTGTTTTGGGTTTTGATTTTTTTTTTTATTTGTAAAAAGGGAGAATTAGAATGACTGCGCTGCTGCTAGCTGCGAAGAAGGCTGGAGCACAAGATCGAGAAGGGTTAATTAGGAAATGTTAACCCATCTACCTCACCTGCCTACTCTACATCCTATGTACTCTACGGCCCTTGACCTACATAGCTCATCTACATCTTCATCTTCCAGCCTGCCGGTACCGGTACGAGCTCTTCCAGTTTCCCGACTTGTGCAAGACAAAAAGACAAAGCCGCCTCTTCTGCTGCTGCTGCGTATGAGTACCTACCTACAATGCATTGTGGTTACGTATGCTACCTACAGTGCAGATCCAGACCTACTATCATGTGTGCCCAGCAGCCCAGCCCAGCCTTGCAGTACGACTTGCATTACGCCCAGTACACGCCAACCGACCTTCACACAAAGAGTGCAAAAAAGAAAAGAAAGGGCAAGAGAGTGAGAGAAAAAAACGGGCTTCTCTGCATTCCCAGAACTCTTCTAGAGGATGACATTCCAGCGCACACGCACACACACAAAACGTCTCATCCCTTCCACCCCGTCTCAGGAACCCCGCCATATCTGTGGATGGGTGGGGTGAACTGACAAGCGAGCGGAGAGAGGCTTCTGTAACACCCCCTTACAGGTGGCGGCATATCCGAGTGATGGGCCCATGAAGAAGGATATGTAGAGAGTCAAGCGAGGTTGACAGTGCAGCAGGTGGGAGTACAGTCAATGCATAGTGGGGGGGGGGCCAAGACAATGGCTCCCCAGGTTACGGCGCGGTTTGTGTGTTACGTTACGCTATGGCGGCGCAGGTTAAGCATTGATTTCAGTTTGAGAGGTCGAAGGCTAGCGCAAATATCCAATCTACTGATATCACAACGAAGGAATTTTTCATTACTAGAGAGCGACAACAATGATTTAGACGATATTGAGTATTCTATCGAGAGGCACACCCCATGCTTTGACATATTGACATTCCAATTGTTTAGCCACAGTGCCGAGAAATGCATCACATTCCCTCACCACCATCATCCCTTTCCCGCCTTACCGGTGCCTTCCATGCCAGCCAACCATCCTCCCGGAATCGCAATCGTCATCGTGTGGTTTTTTTCTCTTTTCTTTTCGTCCCGGTTCCTTTTTTTTTTTTGAGCCTTTCCTTTGGATAATGAAAGAGGATTACAGCACGGCTCCGAAACTATTTCCGAAGAAGAGGTTTCGTTAGTGGCTGATCAACGCAACGATCATTTCCTTCCTTCTCTTTCCACCGCCCCCATGCCGTACAAAACATTACATTACCTCCTCCTCCAGAGTACAAAAACACCTGGTTAAAATGCCCGCATTATACAGAAAGAAAAAAAAAAACGAAAAAGCCCCATTACACAGAGAAAATCTTATCGTCCCACAACGCCTCCTTGATAACAGGCAGCAACACCACCGCCATCACCGGCACCACTACAAAAGCCACAAACATCTTTGCTGCAAATGCCATCGCAGAACCCCCTGCAACAACGGGCAAGGCGGTGGAAGAAGAAGGAGAGGGGGAAGTGGTTGGATTTCGATAAACACGAGGGGGGAGGGTGGCATACCCGAAAGTCTGCTTAATGCTCTTGACGTAGTACTCGCCAAAATTCCTCTTTGTGACCTCCTCCTCACCAACTGGAACACCCTCCCAGGTCATGCGCAGAGTTGTAGAATCTGAACCTTGATCGAAAACCAGGGTTAGGGTAGAGTAGTGTCCTAAACGAAAAGCCCGGTGAGTAAGGTGTTCCGGAAATTTAAGGACCGCTCTAAATGCCCGGTCTTTACTCTCCGGTGTAGAGTAGGAGGTATAGAGGTTCCAAAGCGTGCCTATGTAACTACTGCTATAGCCAAAATCCTGGGGAATGACAACTCACCCTTAGGCCATCCTCCCAATCTCCAGCTCTGTACAATCTTGGTGTCCTTCTCCAAACACTTAAACTCGCCTTCAACATTTCCTCCGAACAAGCTAAAGGCCCCTCCAACCTTTGGCTCAAATACCTTTGGTGTGCTCCTTGACCACGCAGTTACTCTTCCTGGGTCCACGAACACACTGTACAATTGCTCCGCTGAGGTCTGGAACTCAATTGAATCCGTCAACGTAACAGTGTTTACGATAGGGCCGGAGCTAGTTGTTTTCTTCACTGATGTGGAAGATGAACTAGCAGCAGCAGCAGGAATTATAGGCGCAGAAGGAGTGTAGGAAGGCCCCGTACCGGGAGCGTGCTGGATGTCTTTTCCGTGTTCAGCGACAAGGTCAGGGGAGAACTGTCCAAGTGCGACGCGGAGCTGCGGAATTAAATCGCTACGGATCAAGTCCCTGATAGGAGATTTTGTAGGGGTATCGGAGTAGACGTCGATCTCGAACACGTATTCATCCTCTTCGGTGTCATGGGCGATTTCAGGGATTGTGATGGTTCCAGAGACCGATGGGTCGCTCGCAGTTGAGCCTGTGAACGGATAAGTATAGGAACATGAAGAGAGAGAGATAATTGTGTATATAATGGTGGCGATCATACCTGAGAACTCGAGGCGCATTTTAACATCAAAGAGTGTAATAACCTTCCCCTTGCGCTGGGAAACGTCAACATCTCCATCTACAGACACAACTTTATCAACCTTGACACTAGTCTCCCCAGAAGAAGCTGTGAGGACTGTGAGCTTGTCATCAAAGTATTTCTGGGCCCATTCACGGGCATCCTTGTTGACCCAGTGCCAGTTGTTGGGGTTGTGGAGGACCATTGTGATTTAGATGGCGGAACAGTAATGGGAATGATAGTGAAAAAAAGAAACTGTGGACTTTGATATTGATAGTTAGTTGGTGTCCCTTGCGCCAAGTGTGAGACTTGTGAATGGACGAGTGATTAGGAGTGGAGGAGAGAGAGATGAAGAGAGGAGTTCAGACGGAAGTAACCGAGCGGATAAGGACAGATTGTCTTTATGATGATTATCAGGCCATAGTGCACACGTACCTATTAGAAAGATATTTCGAGGCGATTACTTGCGATACAGAGAGGATTCGAAAGGGATCAAGTTGGAACGGGGGAAGAGGGGAGGAATTAAAAGGCACGTTTTTCTGTTATAGGTGGAGTCGAATCGTCTAGAAAGCTTCTATCGTTCGTTGCTACGGAAGGGGGAAAATGGGCGGAATCCGCTATCTAATCTAATCATGGCAATTGGCATATCCGACACAATCTTATCAGATCATCTATATATAGAACTGTGAATTACACTTTAGCGGGGTTGTCTAGGGAACCCTATCACGTGGTTACATAAACATTCAAGTCTTGCTGCCGTCATATTCCCTTTTGCGATACTGCAGAGCTGCTCTCTGCGAAGTGACAAGCGGACTGCGCCTACAGATGAGATAGGACGCCCCTGCAGTAGCCAATACAGCTAATCCATACTCTTTTACTAAGTTTACTACAGCCCTACCCCCTCGGATTTCTTAATACAGAAAAAAGATGCCGCTAACGCGCCGGCCCTCATCGATCTCATCAATACCTACTTCTCCTTATGTCTTTGTCTGGCTGTGATATATTTTCAGGCGCCAATCAGTCACTGCTGCCATACTAACACGCAACCACTTTATCTTCCGCCTTGCCTACTGCCTACCGCTCAAACACACACCACACCACCCATCCCACCTCAATCTACCTCCACACCCGTTGACCACACCAAAGCCCAATGGTCCCCAATTCTTCTCCCGCTACGCAACCCTAAACAACATCCCCTCATTTGGTATTACGCACAGGCGTCCACAGTTCTGAAGAGCGGTCAACCAACGACCACCACCGCTCACCTACCCACTATCTTTTATTTCTATATCCTACCACAACGCCGGAGATGGATTTCTATTCGACGGATACCCCTACCCCCGCCGGCCCATCTGCAGGCGGAAAATATTTATTAGCTCCTGCTCCAATAATGGAAGCCTCAGCGCTACTTACGAGACGCATCCATCACCAGAAGCAGCTGATTTCCAAAGCAAAGGCCGAAGCCAGAAGGAATAGCGCCATCAGCCTTGTGCCGCCAGATCAATGTACGAATGATGGTGCACCAAGGACTCCTGAAAACAAGTCCCCAGATCCAACGTCAAGCCACCTGTACTCATTGTCAACACCAGAGTATAGATCAATAGGAAGGAATGGGAGTGTAGATAGCGACACTATCAGGTTTGGAAGCATGGGAATGAGAGAGCAGACCGAGGTTAGTATTGAGAAATTAGTTGTTATCAGATAAGCAATTCCTTTGACCATTCATTTGTTGGGTTCGATTGCTTTTATGGCTGACACAAGTTTGTATGGCGAGTTTAGATTATCTCACAGAAAAGTAAAGAAAACTTTGGTCTAAAGTTGATGCTCACTAAAACCCGCGAACAAGCGCTCAGATGTGAAAAGGAACTTAAGAATATGCGCCAAAAACTTGAACGTGTCCAAGCACGCAATGAAATACTTGAACGAGAAAACGTTGAACTTAAGCAAACTATCGAGGGTCGTGATATTGTTCTAGATGCAGCAGCCAAGGAGATTGCAGAGTGTCAAGACCAATTATCTGGGTTCAGAGAACGGGAAAGTGCCCGGGAGGGTCGACAAGAACTTTCAGACATGGCTAGCGCCAACTTTAATAGTGACACCACATTAGTATCTCTAGGCGCGCCGTCTTTTGGCATATCGCCTTATGCCTCTGGCGATACTTTGGCGTCCCGCTACACACCCATATACAAGGATGAAGAAACAAACTATTCGCCATGTACTTCAAACGCTCTCAAAACCATTGACTTCAATACGCCGCGTTCAGGAAGGAGTTCAAGCTTGAGCATGGACTCGCCTTTGCCCGGCCTAACGCCAATTTGCCCTTCTCGAAGCGACTTCATTGATCGGTGCGCATCCGCAATGGATGAGAGCCCAGGGCCCAAAAATTCCCCATCAGGATCCTCTCATGGGTCTCTTCCCAGTCTTATTAGTGAGAGCAGTCTAAGCATGTACGGTGGACGCGGGAATAATGGGGGTGAAACCGATGCAGACATTTTCTATGACCATCGTCCTGGGCCCCGTAATGAGAACGGAGAAGACAGGCTAAATATCAAAAGATGGGGAAGGCATGGCCAGAGTGATGTGAATGAATTGACCCAAACTCCGACTCGGAATCCTAGCACAACACGGCGAAGTCCAAGGGCGGAACTCAGGGAATTCAGAGATAAACAGGACAAGCAGGACAAGCAACAAAGTCAGGATACAATGCGACATATGCCGCCTACTCCCGAATCCATGTCACCCCGGAGAAGAACGGGTGGAAGTTTCGACAGCATTTCGTCCAACAATGGCAACGAAGCTAATTGTGGCCTGGGCTTAACGTCCTCAATTGAGGAGGTTGATGATTCCAAGACCGAACCACTCGAAAATAACCGCGGTAACCGCAAGTCGGTGAGGACGACCCCAAGGTCTGATGTGGCCCCGACACCGCTTCAAAAAAGCGTTCGAGAAATCGCAGATAGGTTAAGGTCTCCATTTAAGTTTCCGAACAGCGTCTCTGTGGCGCAGAAAGAGCCACAAACTTTCGGCGACATCACGCACTTGAGGGAGACTAAGAAGCGGTTAGGATACGGATTCGGTAGCAAGCTTGGCAACATGGCGGCACCCAGTAAACAGCCCGGCCGCGACATAAGCGGTCATTCACGGAAACTCACAGTGAGCAAAAATTCGAAAGACAAGTTAGTCACAGTCCCGGTCAAGCCTGTCACCACGAATCTTCCGGTGAGGTCCCGCATCAGGTTATCGAGCCAGCAACAACAGGGACAGGGTCTTGAAACACCACCGTATACACCGAATAATGAGTCTGCTACTAGCCACGACAGTGAGAAAACAACCCTTGTTCCTCGGAGTCTTATGAAAAAATTGAGCTGGGAGTCAATGAATTCTGGTTCAAATTCAAATGGTTCGGATGGGGTACCCAGGTCGGCGTATAACTCGCATTATACTATTGGTGGGAGTCCTTCCTATCTTAGACGGAATAGCACTGCATCTCTGGCGACGACAGATATGAGTGCGATGACATTGAAGACGGTCAAAGATATTAGAAGGATGAGCGCAATTCCGGCGCTAGTTAGGGCGGGTTCTGTGAAAGAAAAGTCACGTCACCATGAATGAGCGGGTGAGGCGGCCGTACGGCAGCATGGCTGCCTCATTCCTCTGGAGGAGCGGGGAGGAGGAGGGGGAGTTATTTTCTTTGAATGATACTAAAAGGCGCAGGCTTTGTTTTTCTGGAGGGTCTTACTTTCTTCTTCCATGCTACTAAACATGGATGTCAATATATCGTTCTGTGGCATGTTAATTTTCCTGGGGTACGGTGGTTCTGGTTGGCGGTACGGTTTTTCTTCCCTTTTTCTCACTGTGGGGAGTTACTGTTTCCTTTCGTTACCAGTATCTGATCTACATTGCATGGTTGATGTGGGCATATTATGCACTCTTATGTTTTTTTCCTATTTGTGGAATCTTCTTTCTTTTCTTCTGGAATGGAGTGGGCTAATGACGGCGTTGGAGTGGTGTAGGTTGCTTTTCCTTTTCCTTTCCTTTCCTTTTTTTTTTTTTTTTTTTTGATAACTTACACTCTTTTTTACTTTTCCTTTTTCCCCAAAAGCTTTCCATATGTTGAAAGCGTCCACTCCTTTATATTTTCTTTTGTCTGGATGGAATTCACTTGCATACTCACTGCAGATGAAAAAAAGCGTATTTTGAGGTTCTGCAGTCGGGAGTGGTGATGGAAGATGGGGGATTGCGATGTGGGCTGGATGGGAATTGCAGGCTGCAGACTGCAGGGTGCAGCAGGCACAGTGGTGCTCTAACCGAACAGAACGCGTTTACTAGGCTGGTGTCCAGCACGTGAACGAGATATACAACAAAATGGATGGCATTGGATGCTACGCGATACGAATGACGTCAATAAACACGCCGGTATGATGAACTGATACGCCTACATTTTACATTAGATAACGCTCTGTTTTTTGTTTGTTCGGGGGGGGTAATGGAACAGCAAATGATCGTGTTGTTTGTAAAGAATATTTATATCATGGGGCGAGCCACCGCAGGAACGCAGTGAGGCCTATTTCTTCCTTTGTTCTTATTTTATATGTTTTTCTTGATGTTTACATGATTCTTTCAATGTTCAATCGTTCAAACCAGGAAGTATCGGCGGCGGATTCGATTGATAGGGTTTTCTTCTTCTTCGTTGAATGTCATTATTTAGTGATACCTATTGAATTATAGAGGGGGCCTATCCTTGATATGTAGTTAGTCGGGATATGCCTAACAAGACTACTAAAATCCTTACTACATGTAGTCGGCGTTTCGAGTCACGTTTATTAGTATTCTACTAAGGCTGTGAAATGGCTACCTAGGGTCCTATCCACCTTATATCTTGGCGTTAACGTTGCATGCCACGTTCTGGAAAGCCTTGAGCATGAGCCGCTTTGTGAAGAAGGCCCCCAGGTACTAGGTACGTACTCTATCATGCAGTTGTTGCCCGGGCTATTTTACCCACTCCAATAGAAACACCGAGACAACAGTGAAGCATATATTGACAGTACCCTACGGTCCAGTAAAGCTCCCCCAACAGCTGGGGGCGGAGGTGAGGTGAGGTCAGATAAAAATCTAATACCTACTCTACCACCACATCACGTATCATGAAACGTCACTAGATGAACAATTCACCACTGCAGTTATATGTTAGTGTTTTTCCCCCTGCATAACGCATTTTTCCCCAGTTTCGAAGTAAATCCAACGGTGCCATGATAGAGAGAGGGAGGGGCAAAAAGTGTAAACTTTTTGGGGGCGACTCGCCGCACACAAGCCAGCCAGCCAGCCATAGTAAAAATCGCCAATTTTCTAAAACTCGTCTGAAACCCGCAAACGGTACAAAAATAAGTGGGATGTTTCTTGGCTTTGGGAAGCATGCGCCGGGCGGATAGACGTTGCATAACGTGCTGTACCTGCATCACATACATCCTACCCCTCTCGCGAGCCTGGGCGAATTTGCATTATGGCATATTGCACAGTACGGAGATGTATCAAGCGGATCGCTCGGGGTGGGATTCATTTGATATCACTCGCTCGCTCAAAGACCGCTCCTCGCGTGTGTTACTCAATCTGGGTGAGGCTTGCATGTGAGCTTTAGAATATACGTATATGTATCTGTTGACAATGGTAGGTTATGCTATGACGACTTACTTATAGTTGCAAGTACTGCTTGCTTGTAAAACATTCACGTTAACAAGACATACCACCCTGGACAAGGGCACTTACCGCCAGTCAGCCAGGAGTCTTGACCCCGAAGAAAATCTCAACTCACAGCATTTGACTTTCCGCGGGACGACATTGCAGCTCACAAAGTCTCGCAGCAGAGACATTGTGCCTGTATGCCATATCCATCTAGGTAGCTAGCATCGCCACAGTTAAAGGGCATTGCTGTTACAACTATCCGTGCACTCATCAAATAAGTCCCCGGAGTTAGGTGATCGCTGCTTCCCGAAGAAGGTTCTATCAATAGCGGGCCGTGGCGGCTATACATTTGGTTGGGTTTACTCGGGGCCCGGAGCCGGAGGCCCGGAGCACAGCACCAGTTAAGCGGATTGAAGAAAAGCAGCATTAGTTTAACGGCCATGGATTATGAAAACGGTTTGTATGAGATCCCCGAGACCTGGTGGTGTTAGGGATGATAAGAGTAATAATCCGTTATTCATAGGATATCACTCGTATATAGCGCTCCCTTCCTAAATAAGCAAAGTCTGGAATGCCACCGGATTTGTAACTCTTGCTGGTATAACAATGGTATTAGAGGTAGAATACCTTGGACTCGTTCCTGAGTAATTCTGCTTCCTTGGCTAGCTGGAGGGGCACTAGAGAACCGAGCGTTGTCAAGAATGCTGACCGAAAGATTATCTCCGGTAAGTAAGAAAGCTGGATTGAAATGGTAAGCATAAGAGATTTACTTATAGCGGCGAGAAACCTCTTCAAACTCGTTCGGGGATGAAAGATGGAGAGGAATGGTGGACGTTGGCTGTTGTAGCCGTGTTACCAATCCTAAGCTAGGTGAGCGTTAGTTACTTACGGCCAGATTCTTTGCTATCTTTTTGGTTTTTCGTTTGATGACATATTTTTTTAGAGATATTTTGTAGGTTTGGAGGCACCCTCGGAAATAGAACAGAGAGCTTGGAGGGCGGAGGGCTTTCGGGACGTATTTTTTATGGGCGCAGTATGTCTCAAACTAGCACGACGATACCGTGCAAGTTTGGAAAACATATCGAGCTGCCAAACTTCTCAAGAACCCGAACCTAGTCGGGCCTTCTTCCTCTGGGAAAAATCGCAGACCTTTGGAACCTTTGCATGCACCAGACTGTGCATAGAGCCCAGGCACGAGGCTAGAAGAATGTGGTATGTGCCACTGCGGTATCATTGTAGGTGTCTTGACTAGCCACATTCGCTCGTCACTCCTAGGCAGTAGTAGACAGTCTCAATGGGTTCTGGGGAGGGTCTCTCATAGTTGATTATATGGTCATCCTGCTCAAGTCTTTCACCTACCCTAAAGAACTGATATTGATAGCAAACACAGGCTTGGCCTCGGTCGGCTTCGATCCAAACAGAGAGAGTATTTTTAGGTATTTATACTAATTATACCTACCGAATTACACCCTGACCAAGGTTTTTAACTTTTTAATAAGAGACACAAAAACCCCTACTTGCATGGAGTGCGAAAAAAGACACCCGACAATAAGAAAATAGACCTCCCTAAACGCCAGAGCTCACTGAACAATAGGTACAGAAAGCATCATGTAGATAATAGTTTCCCCTGACTGACAATATTAACATCCAATTATTTCCATAACGCCCCGGTTCTTCATGGCAATACAAGCGATATCCATATCCCGAAGTCCCCGGTACAAAAATTAAGAATACTATTACTACCTTCCAATCGAGTAAGAGGAAACATAAACTTATACTAACAAAGCCATCCCAAAAAACAGAAACCAGAAAAAGAAAAAAAGAATAGGTTGAGGAGAGGGTATGACACAGGAAATCAGAATGACCACCCAGTTGAGTTATTAAAATCTCATGAGACACTATCATAATACATCAGTCATTAATTCATCATGCTTCTTCAAAAAAGAAAAAAGAATTCAGGTGATGAATTAGGTGTTCATATCGAAATGAAGGCAGCCCAAAGGTCTATGGAAAATTCTCATCATTGATGTTGACACAACAGCAGACGAAGCAGAAGCCTCTACAGAGTTTTCCCCAAAGACTTTGATTTCTGAGACTACTAGGCCGACTCCCGTACGTGGGACTCTCCAGTGAATCCGGGGTATGCTGGTTCCCATCAGTGTATGGATCGGATCCAGTAACGAGAACAGGAGCACGGTGAAATGGATGCGAAGATAGAGTCCCGTAAGATCTATTCATCGATAAAGCCGGACGAAAGGTCGGTTGGTGGGGAAAGGGGCGAGGAGATGACGATATGCCACGCGAGAAGAATGTGCTGGCTGTAGGCGCTGATGTGGGATGTTCAGCTGAAGAGGAATATGGTGATCCTAATAAACTCAGTGGTAAAGTAAGCGTGTGGGACAAGTTAGATGGGTACTATAACATTGAGATGAGGACTTACCACCAAGATTAGGCGCAGATGCTGACATAGCTGGGTGTAACGGTTGAGTGGGACTCGCATAGTCGTAAAAGAAACGCCCGTCTTCATCTTCATCTGACTCTTCATCCTGTTGCAGTGGAGCATACGCCACTTCATCCAAGATCTCGTCGCGAGTACTCTTAATACTTTTTTGCTCCGTTATAGTCTCCATCATCGAGATGCCCGAAAATCGAGAAAAATTTCTGCCTCTTCCGGGAGATTCATTCTGTTGCGTGTCCAAAAAATCAACAGGTTTTTGCTTTGGCGAATCATAAGAGCCGGGGAGCTCTTTGTCAGAGCGGCCTTCGTCATCGGAAGCTACCGGAGAAGCCTCATAAATAGAAGGATGCGGAGAGTAGCCATCATCAGATTCATCATTCAAGAGATGTAAAACCTTCCGCTGCTCACGCCGAAGACGAGGGGAGGGCGGGGTCCTCGAAGCTGGTGGTGGTGAATTTTCGACCGACGAGTTCGATGAACGGACAATAGCAAGTGATGCAGAGCTAGGGGATGAAAGAAAAGGAGGATAGTAAATATCCGCCATGATGCTTTTGTTCTCAGCCCAGTAAATAAGAGAGCGGGATGGATTTAGATGCCCTCTCTACTGTTCTAAATAAGTTATGTGGGTGACTTTCTGGCTTGATAAAACGTCGCTTTGGTATGATGATATCCAAATATTCGGTTTTCGATCGCTATCCAAAGAAAAAAGGAAACTCAGTTCATCGACATGGTGAGAGAGGGGAAGCACGAGGTTGAGTGGGGGACTGTGGGGTGTTTTTTTTAGTTTATATATTGAATGCACAGATCTGTATCATTCTCGGTTATATCACATCTGCCCATTCCAGTGTGGTTCTTCCGCAACCTCCGCTGGGTGGGTGATTATTACTTTGTGGGGAAAACTACAGATCGCATCACCCGAAACCCTGCATCCCACGTGCCCAGACCCTTGCCAAACAGGGTCCAACATTGACAGTTCCGAACCATGGAACGCCGGGCAAGATGTCGACAACGGTTATTGGATCTAGGACAGGTACAGCAATGTTTCCTCCATCGGTATTGAATCTACTTTAATTTTATGTACCTTTCAACGATCAACTATGTGCAGTAAATATTAAGGAATTTCAAGACTGGCCCTTTCAATTATTGTAGAAAATCACTCTTCGAGATGTAAATATCGAGAGAACGACGAACCGCCTTTGAAATTCTGACCAATCTGAGGATACCATATCCAAAATTGCACGTTATCAGGGCTTTGTTTCAGGCATGGGCAAAAACATCCGATCACGGGAAACATGCATCGCAGTCTCATTCCAGAACACTGCAGGAAATTTGGGATACATACATACATTCCAATTTTCCCCTCCAATTTGTCAGCAAGCAAAGAGAGCATTTTGGGAAAGAATATTTACATGTATGTACATAAATGACGTTAAAATCCAATACTTAATCCACTGCTGACAACGAGTTTGGGCTTTTTCGATGCCTAAAAGTCATGTTATGGATATATTATAGCAGGTATATTAATAGCTTACATGTAGCTGCAGAAGTATCTTTTGAGCTCGTCCCGCACTCTATTTTCTGGTCCCTTGCCGCACACCAAAAAATCGATGCAAAGCAAAAGTCCTTGCGTCGGATCTCCCGTCCATACATTCCCTAATGTCTTCGTCATCACGGCTGTTACCACATGAGTCAATCCCACACCTCCACCTCCACCTCCACCTTCAATCTCATCCATCCCCACCATATCTCATTCACAATAATCTCTTATCTCTTGTTGACCATCCACACTGTATATCTGCTCATCAACAACTAATTGGTGGTAAAAATAAACCTTTCTTTTTTGAAAGAAACCTCTTTGTCATCAAACAGACCGAGATTCCACGTCCACATCATCTGGTCAGTGTAAAAATGGGGAAGTTGAATTATACCAATGTAATTAACCCTTCCTTTTCATCAAAGATATCAAATTTAAGTTTTAACGTTTGCAATAGAGGAGGATTAGCGGAGAAAAGCTCGGGAACGCTGTCAAAAGGGACATCCTAAAATGCATAATACAATCAACAAAGCCGGGCAGAGTCCTGAAGGACCCACATCTTGAGCTCAACCTTCAAGGAAAGCACCTCTGTGATGGGGGTTTGAAGCTTGCCTGTGAAGGTTTAGCTGTGACCCTCGAGTCCGGGTGTTCGAAGCTGGATGAACTGAATCTATCAGAAAATAAGATCACTTTAATTGGCCTAAGTCATCTTACTCGAGTTATCAAACTCGCTGCTAGAGATCTGAAAGATTTAGACCTAAGTCGTAACAATATTCAAATCATTACACAGGATGATGAAGGGATTTGGGAAAGCTTTTTGATGGGATTCAGAGATGTAAATTCTATGATCCACAATATTGAAATAGCACTTTCTGACGGTGAAGGATAGGTTTGCACACTGAGACGATTGGATCTCTCCGAGAACCCACTTGGTGATAAAGCAATGGAGGTATTACTGAGTGTTTATGTACGGGAGTCACCAATACTTCTACCCAGAGCGGTAAAGCCAGTGCTCGCCGAGAGCTCAGACGAGGAGTACTATCCAGATTTCGAAGCTGATTCGGACACGGACACCATATTCTCCTCCGGGCCTCAGCCACTGCATAGTTATCCTAGTCATGAAAACTTCTCTGAGTCTCCACCCAGCCCGCATTCGACTAGCGTTCTGAAACCAAACAAACCGTATATTGGTATGCGTTTAATCTCTTTAAAGAGATACCAATCAAGAATCTGTGCTGATAAACCTCACAGCTGAGAATTCGTCTCTTGACCGATCACCCACCCTCTCGCTCTCAACGTCCCTTGTCTCAAGTCGAGTAGAAATTCAAGGCTTACGATCGATTCCTTATTTAATATTCTCAAAGTGTGCCCTTTCAGACAAGGGGGCCCTTTCTCTCTCTTTTATCATTCCCGTGCATTATACACCAGAACGATTGCTATCATATTTCCCTCCCACACGCCCTGGAAGTCAAACCGAGATCTTTGACCGTTATGATAGAATTCCAGGCTGTTCTGGGATTGTTTATCAAGAAAACGAACTGACAGCTATGGGCTTCAAAGTACTTGAACTAGCTGAGGGCATGCGTGAAAATCGTACACAAACGCCTACTAGCCCTAGGAGTAGGCAGGTATCCGAAACCTCTAATGGATTGCTGACACCTCTAAAACATAGAAAGGACAGTTTTTCGTCACAATCCCCCCATAGTGTGCCCCAGGGAGTCACTAGTTCTGAGCTCGAAAGAGCTCGAAGCAAGATACAGGGGGCTATATTAAAGAATTATGGGACAGGTCCTATTGCGGTCTGGAAAATAGCTATTAAAACGCTTTCGATTAGTCGAACGATATTTTTCGGTAGCGAAGACCCGGGAGCTGAATACCTCACACTCTCTACACGCACCTCCCAACGACATTCTCCAATTCGACAAGCATCCAACACATTCAATCCGAGATTCTCTGGCCTACATGTAGGCTCACTGAATTTCCCACACGCTGCACAATTCCAACAGCATCACCCCAACATTCTTGACGGCCAAGGGGCATGGAATGGGCCAAATGTTTCTCAGCTTGGCAGCCCCACAATATCGCAAAGGGATATGCCTGATTTTCCGAGCCCATTTCGGTACAGTTGTTCTTCTACCACAGAAACGTCAGAGCTCGAAGAGCTCCAAGAAAAGATGCCAAGAAAGCTCCCGGGAAATCTTCCAACCGAGCTTTGGACAAGAATTATCGCACTTGTGACGGATCCCAAGGATGTGTTGTCTGAGAAACAGCGGAAAAACATAGTTGCCTGGGCCAAAACAAGTGAATCTCTAGAAAGGGAGAGGGATTTGGCGGGGAAATTAAGGTCCGTTCAAATCTGGAGAGTACTGGAGGCATTAGAGTGCCTAAGCTATGAGTTTAAAACTGGCAAGGAGACCTAGAGACTGGGAAAGATTTGCTATGCGGTCGACTTAGGGGGGCATTTTCAGTCTGTACTAATCCCAGTCAAACCAATATTTTAAAATATTGTTTGTGGATTTCTTTTAAGTTTCATTTTTACTGGGTTTTCTGCTACAGAATTGTCGTTACTTGTGTTTTTCAGGTATGACAAGTGGTCGGTTTTAGGAGGGCTGGCTGCTCTTTCAATCTCACTCCGTAAGTGCTTTTAGCAGTGCAATTCGTTTCTATCAGAAATTTCTTGTTATCGTAAGATGGTTCACATCAACTAGCTATAGTATGTTAACTCATTAACGCAGTTGAAAGTTAATCAGAAGATATTTCACAGAAAAAAGAGGCTGTCTAATTAATTACGCCGTAATAAATTTGCATACAAAAAAATTGTGGTTTCTAAAACTGTTCCTATATATCTGTACATGTTCTTTAGCTATAGATCACCTCTTATCAACTATGATGGTAGAGGATTAGAGTAGATGGTCTGGTCAGAGCCCAGGGCTGGTTTTGGTTGAGCTTCTAGGTTAATCAATAATTAACAATATAGCTTACGTAGATTACAGTACTCGAGCGAACGAGAAAAAAAGCATACTTATACTTATTACAACTTGTTAGTAGATCTAGATCAGTAAGTTGGAACCACTAATCCCGCATTTTATGAGGGCGTAAGTGCATCCAAGACGCGCGTTGGCACTTATATAGCGCGGTCACGACCTCGAATTACGCACATAAACGTACTCTTCTTACTATATACATGTATGTACTTTTAGGCATGCACAGAACTTCACAAAAAAGTTATTTTGTGCTAGTTCACTCTGTAAAAGCAGGAGATTAGGAGGTGGGGGCGGGGGTGGTGGTGGTGGTGGTGGTGGTGGTGGTGGTGACAAACGGTCTCTTTACTTGAGCAGGGGATCGAATCGAACCCCGGCCTCGCTGTCGTACTTGTTTCCTTTCGAGGGCGTGCACGTACCAACACACACATGAGCCACTATGCTACAGAGCCCGAAATAACTATGTTCTGAAGGGGATGGTAAAACATAAGTAGCTTTCACTCCAAGTACTAAGATCAGCTTGGCACATATGTACTTAGCCAAGCCCAAGTATATATCTTCCAACGTAGTATCTACAGATTGTAGATTGAGTAGTACTAGATACTAGTAGTGGTAGATCTCGCGAGCGTGAGTCCCTTTTACTCCAATTAATTGTGTCTCTCCAGAAAAATTCGTGGGGCCTTGCATCTCTATTGCCCCCCCCCCCCCCGGGCGGTGATCCCCCGCAGTTGATGATTCCCCCATACCCCATTGCATTGATATCCCGTTAACCTAAGTTATCTCTCGGTACTTAGTACCCAGTTAATGCAATTTAATGATGTACCTCCCCGTACATACCCCGTTAATAATGCCTCGTTAATGATATCTCAAAATCACCCAATATATTTTAAAGGTTTATTAACTCTGTGCAGTTAAAGGAAAGAAAGACCTTCACGAATTTGACATACCGTTTAAATTTGGGGGTGGCATTCTGGGTGAGTGAGCTGGCCACTACGCAGGGTCAGGGTTTAAGAGAATTCGAGGAGTGCATCTAGAGACAGTACATATTAATTAACAAATAGTGTGGTCGACGAGTCGAGTTGTTTCAAATTCTCGACTTGAGCTTTTCTCTCGAGCCTTGCGAGCTCGATCAGGCGGGCCACGAGCCGAGTTGGCTCGACTTCAGATAGCTTGAGCTATTTGTATGCTTCTGTTGTTCGGTGTTCGGACTCAGTGGGATAGATTTTCTATCATTTATTTTGTCCGGTCTTAGGTAGAGGTTTTAACAAGTGCAGGAATACTTACAATCGAGCTCATTTAGCTTGAGATTTTTCCCACGAGCATGAGCCCAACCTTCTACAAGTCGAGTTGGCTCGGGCCGGCTCGTCGGCCACACTACATATTATATGGCCAAATACTATAGGGCTGTACGCATTTATTGATTAAATAACTAGAGTATGATCGAGTGATACTTCATGATCGAGTGTTATAATGTGAATCTGAGATAATGGTGGGGTGTGTTGGTCATATGAAAGTGGTAAACTCAAAGAAAATCTGGTACCAATGGGACATTCTTTCTTGCCTTTGCTGCTGTGTCAAGAATCCAGATGCGTATTCGATACTACCTTATACATCCCATACGTATATGTACCTATGTAGCAATCCCAAATCAGGCATGAGACGAGAACAAGAGATACATAGAATTATAAACAAGGTCTAACAAATGAATGATCATGATATCTGTTCAATTGGTATGTACCAACATGGGTTGATTGATTATCTACAAGGTAAACGGCCGGAAAGAGGGGTGAGATACAGCAATACACCCACTCACGGAGTGGGATTCCTTTAGGGCGAGGATAAACACCTCCTTTCAACCCTAATAGGTGTTCAATGAACCATAATTCTAGTACCAATATTTGAGAGCGCTGTTACCATGCCACCTTGATTCATGATCAATCACAATTAAAGCTAGAATCCAACAAGTAATATCACTGATACAGTTGCAATGATACCTCCGCTAACCACAGCTATTTTACATGAGTGGTAATGTAGAACGGCCGTACTTGTATACACTTATAAATTTCTAATTATGGGGGTGCCAACCTCGGGGATCATATTAAGATTTAGTGTATCTTGTGGGTTGATGGTTTGCTTGCGGTCTTTGTGGCATTATATGCATATTAGCAACGTCTCGGCATCTAGTTGCATGTATACATAACAAATCACTCGGTCTGTACTGATCATTCCCGTCTGAGAAACTAGCACGTGGCCAGATCTCGTATCTACTAGTACTTGGCCGTGGAGCTCAATGCAGAATGATGTGTCAAAATTGCATTGTGTAAAAAGGTGGTAAACTGCAAAGGACGTCGTAGGATAATGAGACATGCAATCTGTCAGAGGACAACTATCATATTGGTTGGATCACCTAGCTATCTTACCAATAGAAATTTTCAAGCACTGCAAAACCCAAGTCGCTATACAACCGCATTTATGAGTACGCGTCTCCTAGCTCGGCTAGAAAGGCTTCCAAATGCGCCCGAGTCACGTCAAACATTTCCTGAGTAATTCTAATAGGGACTCTGATTATCGCTTACGTATACGCAGACCTGTAGTTAAAGATTCAGATACCATTTCAGATCTCAAACATACATATATATACTAAGAGTCGGAAGATTCACCGAGTCCAAAGGTAAGTGTCTCTGCTCTATGCCTGCACTAGCTATAGATTCTAGTAGCTACATTATGTTCCAAGTACTCTGACTAAGCTGGATTATTATTATTGATAAGCTCTGCTACCGGAGTTCGTCTGATAATAATATAGTAAGTCTACGCCAGCCTAGACCTGGATCTAGGGGTTGCGAAGCTTGTCTCTCTCTCTACTTGCTTACCATAGCTAGCATAGGATCAGAAAACGTGAAGTCCCAAAACAAGTGTTATTTGAATCACAGAACTCGTACGGTGCCACGCCATACCAATAATCCTTGCTTTGGCGGTACACTCGAGTTTTCTGGTTCATATGCTGGTAAGCAAAAGTACATGTAGCTACATAGCCACTCTACAATTGAGCATGGCTGAGTACAAGACTAACCACTCATGGAATGAAAGACCAAGAAAGCCGAGTGATTATCTATGCAATAAAACAATACAATCACATACGTTACTCGGTGACTCAAGTAGGTAACATTTGACAGATCAGGTTCATCCCATCTACTAGCGACTCCACGTGCATCTCTACAGGCTTACACACTGTCCTCATAGCCTCGACTCTCCGAACAAGCCACAAAGCACCGCTCCTTGACCTTCAACTCCATAGCCAAGATTGATTCAAGTTCCAGATCTGACAACACGACCTTTGTGACCTAGGGCTATGCACGCAGCGCCACTTGGTGTATACTTACTTTGATTCGTTGATCGAGACAACAGTATACGTACACACACATCAGATCAGAGCAAGAGTGAGTCCAAGACAGCGTCGCCCATGGCCACTCTACTAGATACTCGATACGAGTCTCCTACGGGGTGTACAAAGTGATTCAATCATATGGCCATGGCTGAACACAGACAGTGTTTGATTAACTGACTGACTGACTACTCCGAGCTCCCTAATCAGGTCTTTCTGGGCAAATGCAGTGCAGCATATTGACAACTCGCGGACTCAACTGCAGCTTTGCACTTTGTCGGGATCTGTATGTAGGAACGCCCGGCCCCGTAATCATCATGTTTTCTCACTCATCCTTACTACATAAAAACACAGACCTCATGCACGCCCACATGTAGATAAGTTGTCCTCTCCTTTCCCTGCTACTACCCTATGCTCATTCACGATAGATACATATAGATTAACTAAGTCTAGTCGCACGAAACAAAAAGCGCACCTTTCAGGGTTTGACTCGCTCGTTCGTAAAATCACTCATGTTCGTGCCCGAGCTCTCATATTTCGAGTCTCACGAACTGGCTCAGTCTGGATACATCACATTACGCGAGCCGGGGAACGAAATCTCCGACTCATCTCATCCTGATACAATGTGTGCAGCCTGGTATCTTCACCTACATAAAGTACCCATCCCAATTAATAATAACAATAATAACAATACATAGTGATAATAATAGTTAGTTTCGTTAAGCTCGTTCTAGAAGTTACGCACGAGCCCTTCTGTCGCACAAAGAAAGGGTTCAGGGTTTAATTGTCACGACGAACGCTATTCCCTGTTACATATCTGTCCGATCTGGCACGGTTGACCGTTGTGTTCGATGGCGTTTGGCTGGGCTGGCAGGATGTCGCAACCGGTCTGAGAGCCGGGCCGATGAAACTCGGGCCGGGCGAGATCAGTGGAGTGAGTGCTCACTCACCCAAGATAGCAGACCGTGCTCCCCCTCCAAACATCCTTCGCTTAGGTCCTTTATGTTTGAATTCAGAGACAACTGGCACATGGTGGATGCAGCCAGTGCCAATGTAC